AACAGCCAGTATGAGCCGTTCCATCACTTTTCCGGGGACGGAGGTGAGGCTCACTGCCCTGTAGCTCCTGGATCCTCCTTGCCTTTTTTGAAGACTGGCGTCACATTGGTTTTCTTCCAGTCCTCTGGCACCTCCCCCGTTCTCCAGGATCTTTCAAAGATGATGGAGAGCGGCTTAGCTATGACATCCGCCAGCTCACACAGAACTCTGGGGTGCATCCCATCAGGGCCCACGGATTTGTGGGTATCGAGTTTCCTTAGGTGCTCTCTGATACAATCTTCCTCTACCCAGGGCAAGTCTCCCTCTCTCCAGGCTTCTTCTCTTGTCTCTAGGGCCTGGGATTCTAAAGGGCTGTCCTTGGTAAACACCGAAGCAAAGAAGGCATTCAGCAATTCTGCCTTTTCTGCGTTCTTCGTAACCAGGGTGCCCATCCCGTTCACCAGCGGACCCACGTTTACCCTGATCTTCCTTTTGCTGTTAATATATTTGAAGAAGTTTTTCTTGTTATTTTTAACATCCCCTGCCACATTGCGTTCTGAACGTGCCTTAGCTTTCCTTGTCGCATCTCTGCATTCCCTGACAATGTTCGTATATTTCCCCCAAGGGGTCTGTCCTTTTTTCCACATTCTGTATACTGCCTTCTTCTGCTCGAGCATTGCCACAAGCTCCTTGCTCATCCATGCAGGTGTCCTGCCCCCTCTGCCTGACTTCTTACACATGGGGTGCACTGTTGCTGGGCGTGGAGGAAGGACTGCTTGAAAACTAATCAGCTCTCTTGGGCCCCCCTTCCTTCTAGAGCTTTAGCCCATGAGATTCTTCTGAGGAGGTCTCTGAAGAGGCTAAAGTCGGCCCTCCTGAAGCCCATGGCTGCAAGGCAACTTACAGCCCTTGCCTCCTTCTCTTTGGATCCTGAACTCCACCAACTCATGGTCACTGCAGCCGAGGCTACCCCCCACCTTCACATCTCCTACAAGTCCCTCCTTATTTGTTAGCAGAAGGTCCAGTAGCCCACCTCTTCTTCTTTGGCTCCTCCACAACCTGCGTCAAAAAATTATTGTCAACGCTCTGGAGGAACCTCCAGGACTGTTTGTGCCTGGCTGTGTTGTCCTTCAAATTGATGTCAGGATAGTTGAAGTCCCCCATGAGAACCAGGGCCTGTAACTGTGAGGCAATATCCAGCTGACTACAGAAGGCCTCATCAAACTCCTCGTCCTGGTCAGGTGGCCTGTAGCAGATGCTCACCACAGTGTCTCCCACATTAGCCTGCCCTCTAATCCTTACCCACAAGCTCTCAACTCGCTCATCACCCACCCCCAGGTTGAGCTCCATGCATTCCAGTTCCTTTCTCACATGAAGAGCAACTCCACCACCTTGCCTTTCCAGCCTGTCCTTCCTAAAGAGCACATAGCCTTCCATGGCAGCGCTCCAGTCATGTGAGCTATCCCCCCATGTCTCTGTGATTCCAATGAGATCATGATGCTGGGACTGCACACAGATCTCCAGTTCGTCCTGCTTATTCCCCATGCTTCGTGCATTGGTGTACAGGCATTTCAGGGAAGTAACCAAGCCTGCAGGTTTCCCAGGAGGGGTGAAAGAGGACCCTCTGTGATCATTTCCTATCCTCACTTCCCCACTAGCATACTCCTGCTGGAAGCCATCTGACCTTGGCTGCGTGGTACTGTTCGCCGTGTCTGTGTGACACTCCCCTTCCCCCTTCTCGTCTAGTTTAAAGCCCTCCTAACCAGGTTGGCCAGCCTTTTGGCAAAGAGACGTGTGCCCCTCTTGCTGAGATGGTTCCCATCACTCCCCACTAGCTGGTGGTCATAAAACAGAGTCCCACATCCGATCTGGGAAACAATGTTGGTGGAAGCTAGGGAAGTTGTGTGATATTGCAGACCTGTAATCAAGTCTGAGCTCTACCTACACCACTTTGAGCGAAGTCCCAGTATATTTCTGAAAATGAAATAAATAGAAATATGAAATAGAAAGAAATATGCAACACTGACTGATGTGAACTGCAGTCTGTTTTCAGAGAATTCACTTTTAAGAGCTCTAATAGAAACAATCACATCAGACCTGAGATAAAGTAAATTGTCTTCTTTACTTTGAAGAAACATTTTCCTCTTGACGTTTTTCAGTGCTTTGTTGCTCATTTGTTGAGTGAGGATAAATTTAATATGTGTGAAGTGAGACATACTGAACCTGACAAACCATCATTTGGGAGATACATCTTAGCAGAACCTGGATCAGTACTGTACTGATCTATGGATCTAATACATAACAAAGACTACAGTTTGTCTCAGTATGTGTCAGTGTCTCAGTGAAGTCAACTGTAGAGTTATGGTGGGTTCGAAATTTTGTACGGTTTTATAGAGCTGACTTTCTAAGAGTTTGAAAAAAAACCCTAATCAAAGTAAGAGTATTAGTATTAGATGTCAGTTGATATTGACAAGAAGGAAACTAGTGCACGATCCATGATGGATACTTGAGTGTACCTCATGTATTTACACAGCAAAGAATGTTCCAGAAAGGATTTGGATAAAAGAGTTGAGCTGCTTCAGAAATACATTTTTCTTACAGCACCTGTCTGGGTATGAAATGGTGATAGTTCTTTAAAAGCATTAGTATTCGTCTCAAGCACATATTGCAAATTCATGCCACCCAATTTGTCTGTTATCTATTGTTCACTGGAAGAATGAAGCAACAGTACTACCTTGAGGGAAAGCTGCAGCTTTTCTCTTAGTTTCTCACTGAGTGGCTCATACTGGAGCAGCTGACGGATTTGCAGTTTATTAGGGCATTTTTGCACAGGTACTGTCAAGCAGGTCTGCTCTTCAGATCCGATGCAGAGACCGTTCCAAACATGCGCTTTGACTGTAGGAACTGTGATCTTATTCTGAACATAAACAAGAACAAGCCAAAAGAGCAAGAGGTTACTTATACTACTGACTTCTTAGAAAGCCATCTAAGCCATCTGTGTATCTACATCCAGCTGACAATACAGGATCTGCCTTCCGAGTGAAAAACAGCTCACTGTATTCCGGACTTGAATGAAGGAACTTACTAAATTTATATCAAATACTTTCACATTGTGGTTATTCTAGAAAATAGAGTTGACTCTTGGCATGTAGAATTTTAATCCAAATGCTGAGAGATCTGTTTAGATTCTAGGTTGCTGGCTATACCTACAGGCACAAAATATGACTGGAAACACTAACCAGTGGATAGTGAACCAACTGATAGGCTTCATGTCTCAGCTGCTAAGCATTTCTTCCTTTACAGCAGTGCAGATTTAGACAATATAGTGTGTAAGATCTTGAGCACAATTTATCTATTGTAAGACCTCTTCATTTGGCAAGATAAACTCTTCCTCAAATTGCTATACCACCTCACTGAATATAAAATAACTTAAGATGACTGCATTTTGAGTGAACTCCATCCTGCATGCCCTGAGTTTTAGTTAAATGAGGTTAATATAATTGACTTTCACTTAATCTAGTCATATTTTCTAAGAATAATGCCTTCATATTTTTTAGGAATAAGGATGATTTTATAACTAAAATATGAGATTTGTGAGGTAAGAGTTGGGTTTCTGGTTCGAGTCTAGAAACACTTGCTCACTAGGAGATTATCTATGTGATCTTGGTAGTGAAACTTTCCAAATTATCAAGGTGAAAGACAACTGGTCCAACATCTTGTATTTGCGCTAACATAGCAAGTTGGTAATTTCTCTGAAAGTAATCATAAAGCTTTTGAATAGGAACTGATCTAGAAATCTGGAATGTAATTTTCCCAGTTCACCAGGAAGTTTTGAATTTAACTGAATCAGCTTCAAAGAGATTTGAAAATTCTCAAATGGAAGCTAACAGTGATGTTGTAATGTGAAGGGCATCGGACTAATCAAACACCATGATCTGTAATGAATTAATGATCTGTTAACACATAATATGATAAACATACATAATAAATATGAACATGAAATTTAAAAATACAAGTACCATGACCTCATCTCAACCAAAAGCTGAGTATGATGCAGGCTGGAACTGTGTATAACGAACCATGCCTGATATGACAATGCAAACAAGAACCAAACATTGCAAGCGTTGGTATGGGTCAACAGCAGGCAGGAGATAATACCTGAAGCTGCAGGAAAGATGTATCATGGTTCATTATGGACTGATCTTATAGGCTGTCTGTGTAGACATTTGGCTAATGGACCTCTGGTGCTAGAAACTGGGATAAGGGTAATGTTATGCAGATGCCTGGTGTAGGAGACTGAGGTAGAAAAATTAGATGGTGGAGCTGATCTACCACCCAAGAGCGCAATGCTAAGAATGGTTGAAAAGAATAGCACATTCTTTGATACCATCTTCCCATCTTCTGTCATCTTCCTGGAGTGGTAACCAGAGTGGGTCTCAACTGATGTGGGAGGGGTGTGTGTGTGTGTGTGTGTACGTGTGTGAGAGACAGAATTTTTCCCTGACACAGCCTATCCCTTGCTTGATCTGCTTAATAAATTGGATTTGGTAGTCTCACTTTTTATTTTTTTCCCTAAAGTGACAAACATCTATAGCTTAAGCAGCAAGATACTTTTTTAAAACAATTATACCTCAAAAGGAGAAAGTTTTTCCCAGTTCCTTGTTTGAAGATTTGGAGGAATGATACTCTCTGTTTTTTTATTCATTATCCAGGGGGAATCTTCAACCAAAGGGTGGAGAATAGTAATATTTAAAACACCTGGTTCAAAGAAACATTTTGATAAGGATCAATTTAAATAAATAAAAAAATTGATATGTGTCTCAAACCTCAAAAAAAAAAAGAATGCTTGTCTAAGTGTAAAGAAACTTACTATCAGCTGCTAAAACTCAACATGAAAATGTGATACTGGTGGCTACAGATAATACTTGATCACTGAGGAAATTACAGAATAGTTGGACAACTGGATTACTCAGACTGTGTTCAACAATAAATTGCATTTGTTACTTGCTTGGAGTCTTAGGTAACATCTCACTTGAACAGTGCGCAGAATATCTAAAGCACGTGGGACAGACCGTAAACCCATATTTACTGAATTTTACTTTCAGGAAGGTGTACTTCCTATTCAGAACAAGCATAGAGCTTCACTGTATTTTATACTTCAGGAACAGATCACTGAATTAATTTGAAATGATTGTCTCCTCTTGTTGTTTTGATTAATTTTAATGTACTTCAAAACATTTTTTCCAATCTAAAAGTCCACTTTGTCGTCTATCCATATGTGGACTTAGAAGTTAATATCACCACTGAGATGCTTTGCCACAATGATGCAAAATTGCAAAACCTTGCTGTCAAGGCAAATAGAGCCAATATTATAGAAAGGTGAATTATGAAGTCTGGAAAAACATCCTAATAACAGGGTTCAAAAAAAATTTGTGAGACTTCTTATTCATCTACACGTCTTTAATCTGAGATTTTAATACTTCAATAAGAATCATTTTCCTTGGGGAGCAATACTAGAGTGCTATTTTAATAAATGTCAACTACTTTTCTTTCTTATATTGTCATGAAAAGAGGTAGCATTTAAAAATATATAAAACCTGAGAATGTGGTAGGTGGGAAAGTTCTTCCCCATGTTTATGATTACAAATTTTGAGAAAGCTGTTTTAGTATTCTACGACTCAAAGAAATCTGTCTTCTTCATCCCCCTTCATCCAGGGGAACCACATATTTCTCTGTCTCGATTTTTAAAAATATGTTTAATTTGTTTGGATGTTACCCTACACTGTATTTTATGGCATACAGCATCTCCAAATAACTTCACAAAGATAATTAGCCAATTCAACTTCTTTGCACTGCTGCTGTCAGATAGTTGTCTCCACGCCCTACTGGTATCCCCTATTTCAATCTTTCTCGTTTATTTATAGCATATATTTAACTTTTCCAACAGCCAGAAAATGGGCCCACATTAGAGTAACACTGTCTTCATTCATAAGTACTCCCAGATCATTAGATGAAGACTGAAAAACTTTCAGTGTTTCTTGACAGCAAATATAAGGAGAATCTATGTATTTGGTAATTATTTTTGTTATTATGTTTAACCATGGATAAAGATATGCTAGTTGTCTGTTCATTTATTCCTTCAAAGTGTCACTCACTCAATTCTCTGTTTACTAGATTTTTTTATTCATAAGCTCAACCTTCCCTATTCTTCACTTACAGAAATGTGGAAGCCTACCTATGTGGGAGAAGCACATTTTCAAATTTCCTGTCCAAACTGGCTTCTGATTCCACCATGATAGTGTTTTCAGTTATTATTTTGTCAGAACAGAAATTAAACTGTTATACCTGGACATTCTTGCACAGGGTCCTGCAAGACAGCAGTAGCTGGATCACTATAGGCCTCAGCAAGATGCTGTTCTACATCCTTGCTCCTAAGAAGCTCAGTCCCAGAACCGTCAGCATAGACAATGAAGAACCTAGAGAACCGCCACACAAATCTGGACAAATATAATGGCTTTCAAATTGCACTCTTTTCTAGATGGCAAATAGGAAAAAGCACTTTGATGACATATGAGAAAATGGAACTTCAAGATGAGGACATCAAGTGTGCATATACTGAGTATGGAATAAACAATGTGCAAATCTGCACATTCCTGCACAAATACAACATAGTAAAGAAAGAGTGAACATAAATCTGTGAAGTTGGGGCATTTTACCTGGGGACATGCTCATCACAAGTGATAGATTCATTTTTTTCTGGCAGTGCTAATGCTGAATTTCTGACTTTCTTGTCATCAAAGTCAATGCTAGGAACAAATACGGATGTACTGCCATCAGCCATGACCTATAAGAGAAATCATAAAAAATGATTTGAATTACACGATATACTTAAACAGGAACTGGTTTCTGAACTGTAATATGGTCTTGCCCAGAGAAAGAGACAGAAAAATCATATTTCAAGGTGAGCATCTAAACATTCATGCATAAAAGTAATATAAAGAAAAGACAAAACAAAGGTTCTAGCAAGACATGCCCTATCACATTTATCACATGCTGATATTTAGTAAATGCTCAAGGATTGTTAAACAGAACCAAACTTGTTTAAATTTCATCTTCAACATATACATCTATAAGCAGGTGACCTCATAGAAAAATATACTCACTCTTTGGACCAATGCATACACCAAACAGGCACTGATAGAACTCTGAGAGCTCTACATATATTTGCATATATGCATATAAAAATACATACAGATATATATATACACATATCTACATGTACATAGAATGTTCATACACATATACACAGGAATATGTATGTATACATAGATATACATGTACCTCTACATATCTATATCTATATAGCAGGCCCTGTTCAGGCATTTATTTACTTAAAAAGAATATTGTCTCAAGTAATCCCACAATACTGCTAATTGAATTTCTGTATTATTTTCCATCTTGAATATACCATGTGATTATTAACTACATACTAATATATATACACAAAGTAACCAACAAAGAATCCTATCAAGGAACAATGTTGCCTCTATTTCTTAATATTGTCAGCTGGAAAACAGATGCCTATGGAAGAAACAATTTGGACCCGAGTGATTCAAAGGACAGTTTGTGAGGTGAATCTGACCATACCCTTTTTGCTTTAGCCTCAGGCGTAACTCGGACCAAGAATGAACCTATCCAATTACAGCTGTATCTGGATGCCACACCTAGCAACTATATGGAATATGTCTAATATACATTATATGCATATATAATTGCATATATGCAAATATGTCTAATACTACATTATACTCCTTTTCCTTTCTATAAAATACCCACTGTGATCACTTCTTCCACAATACCTTCAATACCTAACCTTCCACAATACCTACCAGCCTGCTCAGGCTCTTCCTTTTTGTTCCCTAAGTACTGCCTGGCAAAAATCAGGATGTGCTATGTTTGGTATCAAGCAACTTCACTTCTAATTTGTAGAATTAGACCAGCTAAAATAAAAAAGTATATTACAATGCAGATATCCAATGGAGTCATAGTGCAATTTCACAGGAATCCGGAAAAAATAGCAATGATTACAATTGCAACAATAGAAATAATATTTTGAGGTTGTCATATTTAGAATTACAATGCTACTTGATGCCATGCACAGGATAACATTACTGAGACATGAAAAAAATAATAACCCTTAATTAGAAAACAATATGCAGGTCACAGACTCCTAGATAATGTTTCCTGAACTCAAAACTAAGTACTAGTCTAATGCAAAATATCTATCTTAGATGAGAAAGGATCACTATTACTTTACACCACTATTGCTTTAAAGACTGAATCATTGCTTTTATAATGGTAGCTGTTTTACCAGGCAGATTAGAGCATTTTTTTAGGTGAGGAAAAGTATAGACCACTGTGTAGTCTGTGCTTATACTGTGTAAAGTCTAGACCTGTGTGCTTTGCTCTAAAGGAAAAAGAAATACAAAAAGAAGATATCCTGAGAACCACCACTCTCTCAAGAACATTTCAGAGAGCTGGTTCAGGAGCTGTTGCTTCTGGTTAGCCAGGCTGCCTTAGGAAATCGTAACCACAAGCATACAAGCTGACTTTCAAAGATGTTTATGAGACAATATTCCTCAACATACAAAATGTGTTTCCTTCTATGTATTTTACCTTGAAAAGATTTCCTTCAGGATCCATCACCTCACATATAATGCTGGAAGTGTGTTTCATAACATATCTCCCTGCTTGCTTCCCCTCTTGCTTGCTGATGAATTTATTATTATTACAAACTTCATGGGTATATACTGCTGCACAATCTTTATCAATGAAAAGGGAGCCTATCTTCATGGGTAAAACCTGCCAAATTAAGAAAGTTCAGTCCTTAATGGTGAAATCTTCAGTTTAGATGTAGCATGAAAATGAAGAATAGATCCAGATCAAGAGGAAGGCTCAATCATCTGGTTTGGAGGGAGAGAAAGAAGAAAGATGAGGTCTAGGAGATAGGCAGATGACAAGTGCATAGTAATTTCTGTAACTTAGAGCAATGTAAGATTTAATAAAAGAGCAACTATATAGTTGTGAGCAAACTCAGCTTTATATTGGCAGTGTTTTGGCAGACTATAAAAGAGATAGAGTCAAAGGAACTGGGAAGGCTGCAGAGAGGGAGCTAAAATAGTCAGAGAAGCTGATGGTGAAGACATGGCATTTGGAACATTCCTACCTGATACGTTCCCTGTGGCTTTGCTATAATAGATGTCCCATCTCCAAAGATGGTACAACAGGTACTGTCCTCGCAATTTGTTATAACAGTAGCAAACGCAGGATTCTCCACTCGCATACATTTGACCTTTCTTGTGATGGTTTCTGAACGTTCATCTAAGGATCAATACAGAGCAACTGGACAGGAGTATGTGAACCATAGAAAAATCTTAAGATTAAATTTGATTTTGTCTCATAAGGCTGGGCCTTTATCTTCTCAGTACAAGACCCTGATAAGCTTTTCTTCATAAAATGAAGGAAAAAAAAAAAACCACCAAAAATTCCATAGGAACTTAAGGAAAAATTTCTTAACAGTGAGGGTGACAGAGTACTGGAACAGGCTGCCCAGAGAGGTTGTGGAGTCTCCTTCTCTGGAGATCTTCAAAACCCGCTTGGATGCAGTCCTGTGCGACGTGCTCTAGGTGTCCCTGCGTATGCAGGGGGGTTGGACTAGATGATCTCTAGAGATCCCTTCCAACCCTAAGCATTCTATGATTCTATGATTCTATGATAAAATCTCTTTTTTCACATAGTTTTATGCTATATAAGTAATATGCAATATTCACATTTTTGGACAGTCCACTCAATATAGGCAAATTCAACAGCAACAACAACAACGGCAACAAAAGTCTGTGACCATCTGTGGCTGGCCAGGAGATTATGTTTAACTTTATGAAATACAGTAGTAACCATAATGATCTGGATATATATGAAATATGAGCCGGAATACTGAAATTTCTTATGTCTGTGATTTAAGTGGTAGAATGTGGAGGAATTCCTATTCAGCAGCACAAGCCATGAAAAACACATCAAATGATATGCTAACCTGGCTATTGTTTTTCTATTGAATGGTGAGATCGGCTCAAGGCTGTTGTTTTGATTTTTCAGATCTTTCAGATTTTTCGACAGGGGAATATTACTATCCACCAGAATAATTTTTTTCTAAACAACCCAAACTTCCTATTGTGTTTGAAAACAAGAGGCCTGATGTCCACCCAGTAAATATACATTCCATGTATAGATAGACTTTGTTTAGCCAAGCATACAGAATATACTGATAGTCAGCAGAAACACAAATCATCATTATCCTCAGGGTGAACAGACGGAAAGAACCAGATACCAATGGAAAGAACGGTCTTATTTCACTGTTAGTATTAAGGCAACACAGAATGATACATTTAACAAAACAATAAGCTACTACATGCTCAGTTTAAGCAAAAGACAAAATAAGCAAGGTAATTCACCTAACCATTACTGTATGAGAAAGAGAATAGTGATTAAGAAAAAGATACATCACCAATTGCCTAAATACGCTACCATCATCCAGATCTGCAATTGCTAGGGAGTCCCTGTTGCAGTGAGGATTTGGAGAACCTCCCCAGCAAGTGGGGGATCCACTTATCGGTGCATCCACCCATAAGGGAGGTCTCCAAAGTTGTGGCAAGAGAGTCCAGCTTTTATAGAGCCAAATCAGCAAATCATGATAACTTGCATTTTCTCTGTGAGCGGTAACATCTGGTGGGGCATACTTTCCCTATCATCCGGAACCAGGACTTGGCCAGAGCCCAGGCCTCAGATGAGAGGGTTCCCTTCAAGGTCAAAAACGTTTGCACAAGAGCCCACAAAAGCTACAGTTTAATAAGCCTATGTACAAGTTAGCATAAACAGTTCTGCAGGCAATTTCTGTGTACTTCTACAAAGGCAGTACCGTATTCATCTGTAAGTAACCTCAACTCTGGCCTGTTGTTCAGGCCCTACCACTTCACATTTCTAGATGTGGCATTTTACAGAGTCATATCCAATCAAATTTTGAGTATCTTCAAGGATGGAGAGTCCACATCCTCTCTGAGAATATGAGGATGCCCTGTCCTCATACACCTGTTCAGTAAGAATCAATGCAGCTTACTTGTTGGTATCAGGGAAGATGGAGAGAGGACAATGAACATTTAAGAACTCACATCGTGGTCTCATGGTGAATATGGGTCATGCAAGTGTACACATGGAAAGAAGGAAATTTACTTGCTGGCTAAAGTTAAATTTTTGCAATGAATGCTGATGAAAAAAAGAATAAACAGGGAAAGTAAGCCCGGTCTGTACTATTGGATTTGTTACCTCTAGCATCAGTATGTGCCTTTTAAGAATATTTTGACAACTTTCATAGATGCAGATAGAACAAAGAGATGCTCCCCTTTCAATTTTACCTGTTTTTTTACTATCCTGAGGTACAATAAGTTCTTCATAATCTTGATAAAAAGTGGTGATTCTAGTACCATCCGCATGATCTACAATTCTGCTGCCATCCAGCTTTTCAACCATTATCACTGCATCATCTCGTACAGTCATAACCTGACGTAATAAAGGAAGACTGATCTACATTAGTACTGGGATACCTGTAACAGTGGCATCAGTTAAACAAGACACTATCTACTGAAACTCCAAAGCTAGACCATTAGAGCTTTATCAGTTTGAAAGACCGAAGATTCACATTTTCTTTTGAATGTAAAGCTTTTGCATATTTAACTGTACAATAACACAGCCTGAAGGATATGTGTTCAGTGAACAAGTTCTATAATGCTTACAACAGCAGCCATGTCTCTTAGCCTACAGAAAGTATTATTATAACACAGAAATAGTAGTACCGTTCCATCAGCTGGGTCAGTTGCCTGATAGATTAAGAGAGGCTTTAGATCCATTCGCTTTGCTCCCTCAGTACCCACTTGAAAGCCTGAAGGGGTGGTTGTTATCCAGGTTCCTGACATATTCTCCTTTGGTTGCTCATTATTAATCAGACACTGAAGAGTATTTTCAAACAATTCATCCTTGTCTGAGTGTGATACACTGTTCCTTTGGATGCTCTTTCCTGCAGAAACAAGATTTCTGTGTCAGATTTGTGTATTGGACTCTATGGCAAAAGATAAAAACTAGTAAACTGAAAAGTTTCTGTAAGTGAGTTGAACTATTTATCAGGTTACAGGTAAGTCACAAGAACTCAAGGATGTGTCCTTGGACTAGTATTATTTAATTGATTAATTAATGACCACAGCAAAATAAGTAAACATCATATAAATGAAATCTGATTATGACATGACATTGGAAGGTATCATCAGTGCAGAAGAGAATGTGAATGGCTTACAAGGAAAAAAACCCATAAACTAGCACATGAATAGGCCTGAGGATTAAAATAAATGGAGTTTGATAAAAACTAGTAGAATTAAGTTTAATGCAATAAGTATTAATAAAAACAGTTCCTACTTCAGACAGTTTGCAACAGTAGAAGAGAAGAAAGACCTGGAGGTGCCCCTCAAATACAGAAATACAGGATGACTACAAGTTATTATTGTGAAAAACAACGACAAAAACGCAAGCACAATCCTGTAGTGAGCCAGAAGAAAGATAGTGATTCTACTCTGAAAAGTAATAGAGAGATCTTATTAGAGAATTCTCGTAGAGAATTTTGGTCACCCATGTCCAAGAAAAGGAAATGGACTAAGTGTATACAGGGGACGGTAAATTATAATCCAGACGGTAGTCTAAAGGGTTATAGTATATCTAACATGCAGCCAAAAAAAAGGGGGGGGGGCAAAAAGAAGATAAGAAGATAAGACTGTTCACTAATTGACAAATTCAACAAGCTTAAGCATAGGAGAGGAAAGGTGTTAGGTAGTGGCTGTTAATAAAATATAAGGAATAAAGGATATAAACTTGCTACAGACATGGAGACTGGAAATCAGAAAATGGTTTCTCAGAGAAATTCTCAAATATCCCTCCAGATATCTTAGGTAATGTTCTAAGAATAGTCGACTGGACTCCATGACTCAGGAGTCTCTTTCTGAGGAATTTTTCTATTTGGCAGCAATTTTTGTTCATACACTTCCAAAGTAAATCCAATGTAATTATTCATTCTGAGGTATGAAGTAAATTTGTACTTGGTTCTTTCTCTGTCAAAATACTTAAAAACATAAGAATGAGTATACTGGGACAGACCATAGATCCATGTCTAGGAATACATACAATGAGAAAAAAAATATAGTAAGTTTTCTGTGATACATTTGACTTGTAGAGAGGAACTTTTCTCAATACCAAACAATTGTGCAACATATAAATAAGATTTTCACATTCCTGAAGGTATAGGAAGGTATCTTTTAAAATACTTTGAAGTACCAATTTGAAATACTTGGAAGTACTTTGAAATACCTCTGAAGTACCCCTGAATACTCCTGAAATACCTCTGAAGGTATCTTTTAAAATACTTGGTGTTGATTCACTCTGCTACTGATGTAGCACAGTTTCCACACACTCTCTTATTTCTGAGATTCTTTGCATGTGTTAAGAGAACTGAGTATAAGTTGACCTGCTATGAGGTGATGAATTAGGAATGTACAGTAGTTGAGCACAGAAAATTGCATTTTCATACCAGCAAAAACTTCAGACAAAAAAAAAAAAAGCCCCTTATTAAATATCATTAGCCCCTACTAATTATAAATCTGCCTAAGGTTCTGGAAATGTTACCTTTTTTAGTGCTGGTCTCAGGCAAAGGCTCTGTTTCTGGTAATGATTGGGTGTTATCTGGAATTACAGGTCGTGGTATGACTGGTCCAGAATCAGGACTTGTACACACTGTGCCATCAGCAAACAGAATCTACAGAAAACCAAAGACATACTAGACGGCTAAAATTATTTCAAATAATAACTGAAAACCTCAAAAGAGTGTGGAGCAAACACAGTATGTACTTGAATAATATGGATGATGGAATAAGTAGGAGAATCTCAGAATCAATAAGAATCTTAAAGAAAATAGAGAAGCTCTCATAAAAAGAAAGGAAATGCTGCAGTTGACGTGTAAGCATTAGGGATTCTATTTAGTAATAAACAGGCATTATAAAAGAAAACAGTAATGACAATTCTAAATAATTAGTCAAATATTAATGACACTGATGTTCTCAGTGTTTTTGTGTGTTAGGAAAGGCCTAAAATATCCCAATCATCACTAAATTAATTTGCAAATATTGAGTATAGATGTTGTAAGAAGGATGGCACAGTGCAGAAACTATCTCAAAAGACATAGTGCAGACGTATCTCAAAAGCGACATTTACTGTAATGTAGTTAACCATTTCTTTATTTTTTAATTGTTTCTCTATATGTATTTTACTCTTGATGACTTACAGACAGTGAGTTTATGTAAAGAGGCAGGCACTCAGAATCTGCTTATATAAAACTCATGAGATCTGGATTCTACTGTCACAAGACTGAATCTTGCGAATATTAAGGCAAAGAGCAACTAGCTTCTTTGCATGTTAATTTAATGAGATTCTGGGTAAATAGCTTAAGATCTAATGCAAGGTATCCTTATTTGTACTAGGAGTTGTAGTCTGCTTTTGGCAGTTTCTGGGTCAAAGCAGAAAAGTCCTCTTTTAATCCGTTTTCCAACTGTACATAGAGTCTTAAACTTTAAAAAGATGATTGCTAGAATATTGATTGCAGTATCTGCAAATATGGTATCTAGCCTATAGAACCTAAGATGTGCCAGAAACCTGGGCAGCCTAAATACAAATGAAAAAAGAAGGCACTGCGGAGTCCTTTTGATGAAAATTTAGAATGCCTAATTGTGTCAATAAGACTTAAAAATCCTTCAGGTCATTTCTGAATCATCTATGACTGTTTCAATTACTGAAAAAATATATGGATGCTTTTGTCAAGAATATGCAAAGCACGATTAGTTCCCAATTAATTCACACCTGAGATTTTTAAGTCCAAAAATACAGCTCTCAAAACCCTACTCAGGTACTTCTTTTTCCAAAGGTTGCTCAAAATTTACAGATGCCTAAAATTTTCATCATTGAAATTCCACGAGTGCCTTAAGTTCTGGTATTGAACAAAGACAGGAACATTTTAGTCTTCATACTGCTGCATAGCTCAAAGGTTATATATCTCACACATCTACAAATTAGACACTTCCTTGTCTCATCTGGCAAATAGAAGTTCAAGGATAATCACATGCAAGCTGCTGCCAATTGATTCTATTAAGCATACCTGGGTAGATCCATCTGTCATGTACTTTATAACAGTTCCTTGACTGCTGATGACTCTTGACACCTCTTGCTTTATCTCTGTTGTATATAGATGAGAGTGTTTTATCTTTTGGGGATAACTCTGCCTAACCAGAATTTCCAGAGTAGGCTTCTTGACCTCTTCTTTTTTGGTGTCTTCTTGCTTCATTTCACCTTCTGTAACCTCATGATCCTTCACTGCACTGTCCATGATCTCTTCTTCCTTGGCTTCATTTGCATTGGTCTTATCTTTCTTGACCTCCTCTTCCTTGACTTCATTTGCTTCGGTCTCGCCTATCTCAGACTTCTCTTCCTTCACTTTATTGACTTTGGTCTCACTTTCCTTTACCACCTCTTTTAAATCTGAAAATAAATTCTAAATGACTTACTGCTGTGTAGCAGACATTCAAACAATGCTAAATGTCTATAGAAGATATTCAATTTTTAGGCAGAGAGACTCTTCAATCCATTCATTAAGAGACACTCTCAGAAGACAATTCAAAGCAAATATCTACTCAGACACTCTGCATCCTCCTGTGGAGCTGCCTTTCTTTTCCAAATGAAAATAAGGGAAAGTTGACAGTGAACTTAATACAAATGCTTAAATTTTATAAGGTAAAAAGTAGATGAGAGGAATTTCTTAACTCTATGTAATGGTGAAAAAGTTACTGAGTTCCACCAAGTTTGAAAATGCACATAAACTGAAGTTACATATTTTGTCTGACAAAATTTTGTCTGAATGAAGAATTTGTTTACAATAAATTATGGCAGTGTATGGAGCATACTAATAAGTATAATATGTAACTATGCAAAGAGACTATATGTACACATCCATAACTGCTCTGTTCCCCTGAACTATTTGGTATTTCAACTTAAAATTAATTTCAAATTTAAAAAAGAGAAAATTGGAAAGAGAAAGACTTTTCCATGGTTGAAGAGGACTGGGTTAGAGGTTATTTAGACAAATTAGACACCCACAAATCTATAGGCCCTGACAGGATGCAGCCCTGGGTGTCGAGGGAATTGGCAGGCTTAGTCACTTCCTATCACCTTCGAGAGGTCACGGAGAACAGGTGAGGTACCAGAGGTCTATAAGAAAGTCAATGTCACTCCAGTCTTCAAAAAGGGCAAGAAGGAGGACCCTGGAAACTACGGACGAGTGAGCCTCACCTCCATCCCTGGAAAGGTGATGGGGCAGTTCATCCTGGAGGCCAGGAAGGAAAAGGTGACCAGGAACAGTCAACACGGATTCACCAAGGGGAAATCGTATTTAACTAATCTGATAGTCTTCTTCAATGGGATGACTAGCTGGCTAGATGAAGGGAGACCAGTGGATGTTGTCTATTTTGACTTCAGCAAGGCTTTCAACACCTTCTCCCATAACAGCCTCATAGGGAAGCTCGGAAAGTGCGCGTTAAACAAGTGGACAGTCGGCTGGATTGAGAACTGGCTGGATGGCAGAGCTCAGGTACTGAGTCTAGTTAAGGGCTTGTGGCCAGTGGTTTGCCCGGGGGTCAGTACTGGGTCCAGTGCTGTTCAACTTACTCAACAATGACTTGGCTGAGGGGACAGAGTGCACCCTGAGCAAGTTTGTGGATGTTACCAAACTGGGTGGAGTGATCAATGCTCCAGAGGGCTGTGCTGCCATTCAGTGGGACATGGACAGGTTGGAGAGTTAGGCAGAGAAGAACCTCATGAGGTTCAACAAAGGCAAGTGCAGGGTCCTGCACGTGGGGAGAAATAACCCCAGACACCAGTACAGATTAGGGGTTGACCTGCTGGAAAGCAGCTCCATGGAGGGGGGATTTGGTTGTCCTGATTGACAACAAGTTGACCATGAGTCAACAATGTGCCCTTGTAGCCAAGGCGGCCAATGGGATTCTGGCCTACATTAGAAGGAGTGTTACCAGCAGGTTGAGGAAGGTGATCCTGCCCCTCTCCTCAGCTCTGGTGAGGCCACACATGGAGTATTGTGTGTAGTTCTGGGCTCCCCAGTACAAGAGGGATGTGGAACTTCTAGAGAGGCTCCAGTGAAGGGCTACTAAGATGATTAAACTGGAGCATCTATCTTATGACGAAAGACTAAGTGGGCCTGATTAGTCTAGAGAAGAGAAGACTGAGAGGGGATCTTATCAACATGTATAAATACAAAGGGAGGATGTTAAAGAGGATGGGCTGGCAACAGAATAAGGAGTAATGGGTACAAACTTCAACACAGGAAATTTCACGTCCTTCTGAGGAAGAACTTCAGTGACAGAGCCCTGGAACAGGTTGCCCAGAGAGCTTGCAGAGTCTCCTTCTCTGGAGATCTTCAAAACCCGCCTGGATGCCACCCTGTGCTGCATGCTCTAGGTGTCCCTGCTCGAGCAGGGGGGCTGGACTAGATGATCTGTTGAGGTCCCTTCTCTCAGGTTCTCTGTAGGGTTACTGCTTCCTTATCCTCCAGCCTATTATGTTCAACTACTTGCAATCATAGGTTTTACATGGTTGCCTTAAAACCTATTATTTGCTTATACTGAGATAACTGTCAAATAGACACTATGTATGACAGAATTAACAGCCTGAGATATGAAAAAACTTAATTTTGTTACAGATAAACTTATAAAGGAAAAAATCACTTTCTCCTTCTGTAATTTTAACTTCTTTAAGAATTCCTGATTCTATAGCAGTTCAGAAAACTCACCTTCAAAGCTTTCACCAAGAAAAAGTAATACTAGCCCATTGGGACAGGAGACACTCAAACTTGGGAAAGCAAAAGAATTTGACATCACTTGCATTTGGGAAGCTCGTTCTTCCACTTCCACCTACAGAATAAAATGTAAGTTAGTTTTATTCTGCATTTTAAAAGAATTTTTTTAAAAAACAAAAAACAGACTACATATTTCAATTGCACTGAAACATTTCAAAAAGGTGTTTTCCACCACTTATTTTAACCAATTTGAGAGCTTATGGATTCTGAACTGGAAACATCAGCTTATTTTCTAAGATTGTAGTATCTTATTCTGTGTTACAGCTCTTGGGAAAACAAGCAAACAAAAACTTCCCAACTGTTTTTCATTTTGCTAAGTTGTTATGCTATTTTGTGCACTAAGAGATGATAGTAAATGGAAAATGTGAAGTAGAAGAGAGTGAAATAGTTATTGAATGTATTTATCAGCTATTTTACCTACAGTCATTAAAACAGCACACAGGATAAGTAGAGCAGTACTTCCAGCCTGATCTAAATACATGATTGACTTGAGGAATGGACATGAAGGAATCCCTGGGAGTCATAATCATCTTGGCACTGTTCTGAAGGTGAAAGTAATCCTAATGACCAGAAAAGATGACTGAGGGAATAATTGAGGAGCCTGGACCATTTGAGAACACAACAATGGACCCTTTGATGTCATTTCGAATTCCATCATTTTGAATTCTAATCCTATAAAATGAAAACAATCAATTTTGGGTTGCAGAGGGATGTAGCAGAGAGTCTTGGTATTATTCTATATTCTCTATTCTTGATTTCTGAGAATAGCAGAATGATCCTTTGAAATCTGCTGCAATGTTTAAAGATGGACTCTCAGTGCATGCTTAGGGGACTAGCTAGTATTACAAAAATTCTGCAGAATTCTCCTAGGAAAAAAAATGCAGTTGTTTTGCCATCTGTTTTTCTACATATTAGATACTTTATATTTGATGGTTATTTTCTGTTGCATTACTGGCTAACTGAGGATATCCTCAGTGTCCTAATATCACAGTAACAGAATCATGGGGGAGAAGACACAGAAAAGGGTAAAAGTAAACTTCAGCAGTCACCAACTATTTCTCCCTGCTTAATGGTAAAAAAAAAGATGTACATGTCTATCATTAGTGAAAACTGCTAATGTAATCTCTTCTGAAGGTCTCCAGTGCTGGAGATTTCTTAGCTTTCCTAGGCAAGCTATTTCAGTATCTTACCTTGCATAACATTAGCAAGATTTTCCTGGTGGTTACCCTGAATCTTTCCTGCAGAAGATTTGTTAATTTCTTCTGATTACATGGGCAAGCATAAGAGATGATGATGTTCCTTTAACTTTGCACCAGGTTGTCTTGTCTCCCAATCTCCAGCTTTGATGTTTCCAGATCAAATGAACACAAACTAAGTATTTTAATCTCTCCTCACTGGTCAAGTTTTCTAGACCTCTGATCTTTATTGATGCTGTTCTCTAAACTCTCCAAACTCTCCAAAAATAGCGGTCATATTTTCTCACAGTGCAATGTCTGTAAATGAACACTACATACACACATAAATACTACAGCTAAGGTCTTACTATGCCTGAATGGAAAAATTACTTCATGTATTTTCCAGGCTATATTCTTGTTTATTCATCTCAATATGATGTTTGCCCTTTTCACAGCAAGATGGCATTGTTGACTTATGGATAGCCTGTGATTCATTACAACTCTCAGACCTTATAATATTGAACTATTATTGACAGAACTGTTACCCATTCTATATCTATCAATTATTAACATGTAATTATAGAACCTAATACTCACTCTTACGGAGTTGCAGTCACTTTTCCAGACCATTTCTCTATTAATTTGTCAAGATCATTTTGAATTCTAATCCTGTTCTCCACAATACTTGCAGACTCTCAGTCTTGTGCCCTCTGCACTAAGAATACTCTCTGTTTTTCAGAGTTTTTATTGAAACGCCAAAAAGTACTGAACTCAAGACATTCTAAACCAAAAAATCCTTTTGGAAGAAAAGGAGGAATTTATGGATTAACGGTAGGGGTATCTCTTTGCATAGCGTGTTTGTACTATAAGACTTCTGTATGTTGTACTGAGTGTTAGGTGGAAATGCTCTACATGACTTTCGCTCCTCAGTTAAACTTGTTGAAATTAGATCAGAAGGACTGTTTGTGGCACGGATTGAATCCATGTTGAATTAATAGCCACAGCATGAGTTCATCTACTACGTACCATAGAAGCAGCATGGTTATTTTGTATTTAGAGAATATTCCATGGCCATTCTTACAATTCTTTGTACTTGCAGTTATCATTCTTGCCTTTCTAATTACTCAGTTGCTATGTGCTGGAAGCAATTATCTGGCATTTAACCATTTATTTCCATATTGCCATTCCATCCCTTTGTATAGCTCAGCCCAGCTCTGTTAACAGGATGATGAGGTCTGCTCAGCCGTCCATTCACTTGCGAAGGGAGCTCACAAGATACCTGATAAACTACTGGTGAGTAGTTTGAGTGATGCAGACCAAATAATCAGAAATGAATAATCAGTTTTTCAAGACATAGTTCTGAGAAAGGAATGATCTTCTTTCAAGTGTTGTTTGGAGAAAACAGTGTCAAAATAGAAAAGAGAACAATTCAAATTAATCCACTTTTAGCATCCTGCTAAAATTCCTTCACACAGCAAAATTCTTGTGTTTCTCTTAAATATTCTGCCAATATCTAGTCAATGAAATGAAATGATTTAGGTTAGTTGTCTTGCAAAGAGGAACTGTGACCAATTTCTGAACTGATATGTCCTTCCCCATTCGCACATTTTAAAGATAAAAAATCTTCTCATAGAGACCTGTATAAGAAATTTAAGATAGCTGGTCATTTCTGTTTTGCAAACTCCTGTAAATTCCATGCTCCATGCTACTCCATGCTAATTGTTCTAAACCAGAAATTCAGAATCTGCTTTTGAATGTCATCAACACTTTCTGAATGCCTATCCTGTCACAGAGATAGTTCAGCCATAGGCAAAAGCAACTGACTCAGTGGATCCCTGGCTTGTCTCCAGCTGCAAAGAGTAAAATTGTTTCCATTAAATTACTGGTTGGGTAAAAACATTCCTACGTAGGTTCTGGAAAGCACGGAAAGGTTCTCCTACTTGATTAAAAGTGAATTTCCAGAGAAGTTCAGTGAGATATTAATAATGTAACATGTGTAACTGTAAATCCAAAAGGGACACAAATACGTGGAACACAGAAGACATATTAGTCTACATTATGGAATCTTACAGACTAACTTCATTACCAACTGTCAACATGTACATCTATGAACATTCCTTTAGAACTGACAGGTGCTGTTAGACATTTGAAAGGCACAGTTCAAAACTCTCAGAAGAATATGTTTTTGACACCTAACTTTATATATTGGCATTATTTTGTTGTTTAACTAATTTCTGCATTCATTTTATAATGTCTCTACCCACCTTTCCTTTTTCCTGCTTTACAAGGTCTTCCACTTGTGGAGGGCATATTTTACTATGACTCCCTTTTGTAGATGGCAGGGATTTTCCTGATTTCTGCTTGACAGACTTATGACTTTTTGCTGAAGTTGATGTAGCAGGGGGAGAAACAACAGTCGGAATATGAACAGAGGGGATGTTCAGAATTGTTGCTAAGTCAGGATCTGTCCCATCTTCTAGGGAATGGAAAAAATATCTTTAAAACAATAAAGTGTCATATATGTAGATGACCCCAATCTGTTTGTGACAAAATTATATACACTACGTTTTATATTAGAAATAATAAAATCAATAGCATCCGATATAGGGACTGAGTACATGAAATTATTTGGAATCCGTAGATGGATTACTCATCAATGAAAGAGAATTGTTGTTTCCTGTAGTTCATCATACCTCTCCCAAAAAGAGAAAATAACTTTTTTGTTTGATTTACCTCCAGAATACTTATGTAACTGGAGACATTTTGAGTGTAAGGACTCCAGCAGTTTTAAGCTACATACTCCATTTTACTATAATGCAAATTAATCAGAAAGTTTCTGATGAGCCTCTCCCAGTTTTTAAGTGCCAATCATGTTGCCTTTCAAAATGCTATACTGAAATAAAATTAATGAAATTAAAATTTTCTATAGATCAGTTTAGTTTGATTATTTAGTCAGAAAAGCTCTAAACCCCATTTTTTTTGATGCATCTTTTCTTGCTTAGCTTAAGTCTCACACCTACAAACTCATGACATAACAGCTTCTTTCTCACCCAGACAATTCAAGCAATTGCATTCTTGTCTGTTTTTGAAAACTTTACCTGAGATGGAGCAACTTATTTTCCATATCTGAACCACACTCATATATATTAGAACCTGAAAATATCAGTGTGCAATACATGCGGATCTCAGAAACTAGCTTCTGAATATCTTTTTAACTTAAATAAGTGGCTTGACTTGCTTAGCAGTTTCTAAACGTATGAAAATTACCAAAAAGACCATTCTTTGCTAGAGTGTCTTTAGGAAGACTTCCAAAAAGCCTTTTTTTGGTCTGTTTCTTTCAAGGAACAATGTTTTTTAATGTGAAAATTAATGTCAGGCAGAAATGATAATAATAATAATAATAAAAAACCAACACCCTAACTCAAATTACAAGTAAAACCACATTCAGATAAAGGAAAGAAATGCATACAGAAACATGATTATAGAACCATTCTAGTGAGAGATCACAGCATCTTCCATAATTCAGATTTGTAAACCTTTGGCTGAACAAGAAAAGAGGCAGCGCTGAATCCATGTCCACTGTTTCTTGAAAGCTTGTGACATAAATGTTTTTATATCTTCAGGTAAGAAAATGCAGAAGCCAGGAACTGGGACTGCATGGCATGCTACTCTCCATAAAGAATGGATGAGCATAGCCTAAGACCAATTTGGTTTTGGTCACAATGGTTCAGCGTTCTTGTGATACAAACCACCCACAAGGGAAGTGTAGGCATAAGCAAACAATCAAAATTACGAACAGTCAAAGAATGTGAGTCAACAGTGCTGCGCTAAAACTCAACATGGTGAAGATTATTCTAATGTAGAGTAGGAGGTTTATGGTACTTGTGAAAAAGCCTTAATATCACAGGTGATACACAGCTGTTTAATAAAAGATCTCTCTCTTATGCCACAATGTAAGAGTTTTTACAGACCACTACAGTGTGTATACTCTTTGACAAAAGTTTAGAAAGTCATTTTTCAGTAATTCATTTGAAAATATGAATATTACTGCATATTCAAATTGTTTACCACAGATCTCACAAAGATGCATTTGATTAAATGTTTTCGTATTTTAAGAGCTGAAAAATGCTGGGATTACTTTCTGATGAGAGAATAGGTTCATTTTTATCCATATGAGGGTTTCAGCGGCCTTTCAAATATAATGGAAACAAAAAGCTCTTGGTAGAAGTAGACACTATTTTCACTGTGGTTTTCTGAAGCAATTACTTCTAGTTCCTCATTGTGTTTACTGAAAGGCTGAGAGAAATCCTTCATTATGTCTGCACAACTGTAACATAAGTCCAAGTCCTAACATAAAATGAAAAGTTCCATAATCACCTATATAAGTTAACAAAAATATTATTTCTTGGAAAGCCAAGAAAACTCCTTAGCAAATCACATTTTCTTTGGCTCAAGTTAATTGGCTGATTTTTGTGGGCTACTTAATAACAATACTTGCAAACTTCTCCCTGCACTGCTGTGTTTTCATAGTAAGCAAAAAAACCATGAAGACCTCCCTCCATTTTGAAATTCAAAACATAAAATATTCTTGACAATGTAATCTCAAGTCTTGCAAAGAATTCCCCACAATGTAGCAACAGCTGCTGAGAAAGGCAAAATTGTATGCAACAAATTATTGAATGAGGGGTATATGAAAAAAAAAAAAGAATTTCCCCTATGGTTCTCAAATATCCTCATCTATTTGCTTACTTTACCTGCTGTCTTCCCTGTAGGTCCATAATAGCTCAAGGACAGATGGATTCCATTTTCCAAGGTGGCTGAAAAGGATCCAAACTTGCTCACCGTCTTCTTTTGATTTTTCAATTTTCCTTTAAAAAATTAGCATTAATTTTAAAGATAGCAATGCATACCAGAACCATCTGACCTGCAAAACAATGACCGGTGCAAACAGTGACATCTCAAGATGGATTAATAACTTCTAAAATACATTAATAAGGGATTGGGGAAAACTTTATGAGGGTGATCCCTATGGCGCACTCCCATTCCACTCATGGGGCAACATTTTGTGTAATATAGCTGTTGTTCTTCACCTACAAATTGCAAGAGTAGGTATGTAAGATTTGCTTTAATAGCAACATTAAGTGAAAAGTCTTTCTCAGTTTTAACAGTAAAAGATCCTAGATCTGGATTCAATGATCCTTTGTTCCTTCTCCTATATGCACTTGGGATACTTGGGTGCCAAGAATGCTAATCTGTTCTTTCCTTTGATTTACAACCTATAGAGTAATAAAAGTTACTGTCTCTTACTGTCACAGGAACTGTACCTTGAGGAAAAGATGAAAGGAGAAAAGGAGTATCAGAAACTGGGTAGAAAGTTATCTCAAGTATGAGAACAATGCCATTTTTGGCATTAGTCCAGGCTGATCAAGAGAAATACTCACATGGGTTGGGGGAAAAATGCCATATCATGAGTATTTGACCAGTGAAAACCACATGAACCACCCAAGGTAACAGTTCAGAGACAGTGATATTGGATCCTACTTTACTTTAGCTGAGCCCTATTTCCCCTTAAGGAAAGGTTTTGTTGGTACCAGGAAGAAGAAATCCTTGAGATTTCCAGTACAGAGAGCAGCTTATTAAAACTGTGAGTAATAGTGGAGGAGACTCTCAAAAAACAAACAAACAAAAATCACAACTTGGACACCAAACATCTACCTACCTTCCAGTTCTTCCATCAGTAAGGTAGACATGCTGAGGTCTTTGCTATTCTTATTTATTGGTATTTATTGCACGTCACTGCAAGCTCTTATTGCTTGCCATTGTCACAGCATTTTGACTGCTTAATGTACCATTCAATCACTGCCGCGCATCAAATTAGAATGGATTAAGTCTCTGCCCGCCTACTGCCTTCTACATGAGATTCCTGTTCTACATAGGAGGCAAGCTTGCCACTGGTGCAAATGAATCCAATTTGCTTCAGACTGTGCCACATGGTGACTGAAAGTGCCATCTGAAATACCTCAAAATGACACAAGGCCACTTTCAGAAGGACAGCAAAGATATGTCTCATCTATAGAAGAAATGCACATATTCTATTCACTCTATTTATTATTACTTCATTGGTGGCAACTGCTGCCTAGAGGAGGAGCAGGATCCTTTCTAAAACTGAAAATGTAAAGAAGTAACGCCTATATCAGAGGTTACATTTTTCCATTACTTTTCAGCATAAAATGGGCAGTTACTTAGTGCTTTTGACCAAATACATATACAAATTGCTTGCAAGCCTGCTTCCTTCTCAGATTACTTCTCTCAATTCAGAAGGAATATGACACCATGGCAATCAGCAAGATCTTTTTTAATATTGCTGAAATGCAAAAACATTATACAGCAAAGTTCTTGAGGAGGCACTAATGCTACAATAATTTGGTCTCCAAAAGGAGTTTGAGTTAAACAAGATCTTTCCTCTCAAAGCAAAAATTTATGCCTTCCTAGGCCATATTAAGATCAGAAGGAGTCAATGAAGAAGGAGTCCCCAGTGAAAAAAATTCCTTGAAACAGAATGGTCTTTTTTTGTGTGTGTGTGTGATTTCTTTGCTTCAGAAAAGAGACTAGTTTGAATTTTTTCATCTCAGTGTGCTTGTTTCTACAACTACAGAAGATCTCTGGATGGTGTTTAAGTCAGCCAATTGGAATTTTATTTAGTTTTGTGTTTCTCAGTGACTGGGTCGTATTCTGATCTCATTTATGGAGACCTGTCCCCCCAGATAAGCTAGCATTTCACACAGGACAGTTTACAAGGAAAGAAGCTGGAGCAATCCATCTTTGCCTTCTCCTGTCTCAGACAGTTCCATAGGTTGTTTCAGCTCTAATAGCTTAGAGTTGTTTGAAATCTGCAAGCATCTAAGACTCCCTAAAAAATTATTTTAATTGGAGGTGTGGTTACTGAAAAAAATATTCCTACATCTTCCCTGAACTTACAAACTAGTTGGGAAATTGTAAAAGAAATAGGAGTGGCTAAAATAGTACATATTTACTTATTTTGCTTTCTTGATGAATGGCACTAATACCTAAATAACTCACTCACATATTAAGGTGTAACAAAGCCATACATTCACAGAGACTGCTGTCTTTGTTATCTTGAGTCATGTTCAATAACATCAGCTCCCACCCACATTCTTAATTTGAAAGTATGTGTCTATTTATTGCAAAACTGAACCCATTTGCCTTCTGCAGTTATTAAGTAAAATGAAATAACTTAAATTTCTACTACGGTTTACACCAAAATACTGCATATGTCAAACTATTATTTATGCATATCAATGATGTTAACCCACTAACCTGTTCTAATTTTATCTTCTTCATTCATTTCTTGCACTTCAATTTCTGGTAAGTTTTCCTTTGGGTCTGTGATATGAATGAAGAAATTATGGTTGTCCTTTACCACCTTCACCTTTACCAAAGTTAGACCTGCAAAACAATGGAATATTTTTCAAATATTGTTCCCACCAGGCTTCAGAACTCTCTCAAAAAACTGCACCTGCATTGATAAAAAGCTAAAAAAAAAAAAAAAAAAGTGAACTGAATTGCTTGGCAGGAACACAAGAAAACAAAACTAACGTTAGTTGAGTTCAAAATGATATCTGCTAGTTTGCAGATGTGTCTTATTTAGATGCAGATAATATGTTACTTAGACACACTGCATTAACTGGACAAATTATGGGAACATGCATTCATAGAATACCCTGTATTGGTTCCCACTGAACAGATTAATAGGAATCAATTTTTCTCCATTTTGATTTTTTTGATACATTATCTATCAATTGTTACGATACCACAGCAAAATGCAAACTTTAGTAGTGATAAAGACTCATATGTCACAATGTCCCTAGTGAACTGGTACTAAAATTACTGTTATTATTGTTACTTTTACTGTTATTGAAATGGATAAAGAAATTATCCCCAAAGTCAGTAAGAGTTGAAACGCTGTATAAAGAATAAAATAATCACCTTTTATAAACTCTATCTTTTCTACTTGAATCTGTCCTCCATCAGATGGGAAAAGATATTGATTGGTTCCTGATACTTGAATGAGATCCTCCCCTGTATTGTAGCCAATAAACTGGAAAAAGAAGTTTTAGATTATAGGTAAATTATAAAGCCAGGAGATCTGAAAGAGGCAAACAAAGGACAGATCATAAAGATCACGCTGTTCTAGTTAACATTTTCTGTAGACATTTAATAACTATAATCATGACTTTAATAAAAACTCATATGCTCTATGCTTTCCAAATAATTTTATTGTTATAAACTGAAGCAACTTGTTACAAGTGAGGACAGAATCTGGTCCTTCAGTAGTATATAGATCCACCAGGGGTATTGAAGAGTGACAAGTAGGCTGCTACCTTAATATATAATGAGAATGAAAGAGAAAATATGTCCAAGCTCACTCAAAGAGACAAAAAAATATTCTACAGGATCTGTACAAGCCAAACAGCAAAAAGATATAACTGACTTATCTTTACATTCATGTCACATACATAAATATAATAATAACACAGTCTGATGTAGAATAGACCTACACATCAGAAAACATCTTCCCAAAACTTCTAGGAAAGGATCAGCAACTAAAATGAAAGCGTTAAACAGTGTATAATTAGACTTAGTTTGCATCCAAATCCAGTTTCACAATAGATGATAGCTCCACTGGAATCTTAACTGTATATAAATAGCTAGTCCTCTCCTAAAGCAGTGCAATAATATGACTCTGTACCTTATAAACTTTCTCAGGAAGTGGTTCTGCGATGCTGGAATCATCATCTTGTTCAAGGGCTTTTGCTGGATCATCTTTAATTTTCTCTTTGGAATGTTTCTTATTAGGACCTTTACTTTCTTCAGGTACTATTGTCTCCTGACCTTTTTTTTTACCTTCTGGTTTTACTTTTTTTGCTTTGTTCTCTTCCTTAAGTCGTTCTTCTAGTAACTGCTCCTGGTTCTCCATCCAAGCATACATAAAATGTTAGGAACTTAAATGACTGACTCTATTTATATTACAAGACATTTCAGAGGTACATGCTGAAAAGAGTACAAATAAACAAACTCAAAAGAACTTCCAATTCTTTTGGGCTAAGTCACTCGCATATTTTTCAAACTTGCCTAGTCTTACAATACTACAGTACTACTTTTTTCATAAAATTGCTACTTTATTCAAGCCACAGGATCAGTCATTCTTGACCACTGGATAGGTATTAGATAATTATTTGTATCATAAACATTTAGTCATTAGTGAATTACTCATTTTGTTGTGCACTTTTCAACTATGCTTGCTGCCATATCAAAATGCATCACTGAAATTGACTTATTCCTAAAATAAAACTATGAGATAAAAGGCTTTTAATTTTTAAAGAAAGTAGAATGAGATATCAATGTCAGAATTATCAACTTATATCAGAAACATAACAAAAATATCGGAAATTTTCCAGAGTATTTAACATTCTGTAGTATTTTACATTCAAACCACATGGCAAGTATTAGTGTAACTTGAGCTACACCAGCTCAAGCTCAGCTGACATGAAATAGTCGATGCTATTCAATATCTGCATTCCAATATCAGCATTTTAAATGCAGAATACTATATACAGTAGTATATAGGGAAATATTGTGTTTGTGAGGAGCCAGAAAAATGCTTGGTGAGGTTGGTCATCAATTAAAATATATCTGCCTAGAACAATGCATAGTGCCAGTAGCAAGCCTTAGAGGAGTTGCGCTTAACTCCTACCTCTGAGGTATCATATTTACATTCCTAAATTTCAAAAAGATACAGATAGTGAATGTAGAAGTTGGATGCGTAAGTACTTCCAAGAATCTGTATGCTATGTTTTCATAGCTTAAGATGAGAAAACTTCAAGGAAATTAGGATATTATCCATAACTGTCCTTTCTTTGTACTGCAATAATGAATTACTTGTGGTACATCTAGTCTAACTCCAAATAGTGTTTCCTTAAGAAAAGAAAACAGTACAACTCAATCAGTAAGGAACTAATTAAAGCAAACAAGAAATAAAGTAGAAGAGCTGGAAGACTACAGGTACTACTAAAAGTTTATGTGGCAATGAAGGAGTGTCTTCCTGAAAAAGCAGTGTTATTTAGTCCATTTAAGAAGCACATTTTTTTGCCTCACCTTAAGAGAACCTTCTCTGATAAAAAGTCTCTTTTGTTTGTCGGATTGAGATTTTAGAGTGTTCTCTGTGATGCTCTCAAGCGTGCTATCTTTGAGAAATGAGCAGGGAATAAGCATGGTTACAAACATGTGAATAGAAAATTAATTAAAAAGTAGGTAAAAAAGACTAAACATGTAAAATTAGTAAACAGTAAAAAGCAAAAATGAAAAAGTAGAATAAATAAAATTTTAATTATGTTTAGAGATAAAACAGTATGACTGTTCAAGTAAAAAGAAATCTGTCTAGTAACTTATAATACTTGATATTCCTAACTGGAGAACAAGTATGCTAAACAAGATAACATACATAAAGACTGTCTAAAGACTGACTCCCTACTTCTGGATGTTGAAGTCTTTTATCTTACAAGTTTTTTTTTTTAATGTAGATGAGCAGTGCTGAATAATCATTAAGCAGTATTTGTTAATATTACTGCTATTAGCATTATTTTAAGATTCAGATTTAGTTCTCTAACCAGCTCACTTAACCTCAGAACAACCCCAACAGCAGACTCACAATATTACAATCTTTAAAGTCAAAGACATGAACAAATACTGTCTGACCTGTCACTGCATCTGCCACTAAAAAAATACTTAAAATATCCCCTGTTTATTACTATGACTTTGCAGCAAACCAAAAAAGAAAATAAGTAATTTGACAATGGTAATTAGCTACCACAGAAAACACAATAGAAAAAAAAATGGTTTAAATGGTTTAAATCTGGCTTATGACTTATCGTTTAAATCTGGTGTCTTTACAAGTTTTCCCTGTCTGTGAGAGTATCTATTTACCCAGGTTAACTCAAATCTAACTCATAAAAAGGGTATCTCTCTGGGGTTGCATTTTTACAGCATGTTTGAATGTAAAATATTTACATGAAAGAAAAGGTGAAGAACACTATCAGAAAATTCTGATTAAATTACTTTGCATTAAAGTGTGAGAAATTACAGTGAGGGCTACAACACTCTCAGTAAAATTTAAATCTCCTAAAAACACTGGTGCTCATCCTCATATTCCAGCCAGACAAAACTCTTCCTTAAATGAACTTCCTTACAAACCATATCTGGAATGAGTCCCCAGGTGAGTAAGACCCAGTGTGTCTCCTGTGACAGCTAGAAGGGTAGAGGTATGACTTGAAAGCCTTTCATTTCCAAACTATAATTTAAGTGGCTTGAGAAATGACAGTGGCTTGAGAAATTTAAGTATTAAGTGGCTTCAGAAAAGACATTCCTATGTCATTTCTATGTAAATGCTAATTTCTAGTGCTAAAGATCAAAGAAGGTTGAAAGCAAAGCCTAAAAAAAGTCATTATTAATTCCACATATAAACATACTATAGCATTTTGACAAAAGTTCTCTTTTGTCAAGAGTTCCCTTTTGTCAAAAACATTTTTTCAGATTTTGATGCCTGTTCAACAGTTTTTGTATGAACTTGTTACAGTTATCATTATCCAAAATGATGCTTGTAATTAAAGTTTGCTCTGCAGTCTAATCAATTCCAGATCACAGTTTTAGCTTCTAGTCTACAGCTTCTGACTTTTTGCCCTTTAAAAACTGGAATTTCCTGTAAGGTGGTGCCAGCTCTGACTACTGCTCGTCTCTTATATTCACTCATCTAAAATATGGATCCAAATTTGCATGTAATCCAGACAGTAATACCAGTAAATAAACACAGCGATTTTAAATATAAAATGTTACCATCATCATAAATTTGTGAAACTGAGGATGAGGCAGAATATTTATATATATGCATTTAACTCATCTTTCCAAATGTTTTTATGTCTATACAGATTACATGACATGGTAATCCCATGAAAAATATTTAGGATTCTGCTCCTGGAAAAGATTTGAGGCTCAGCAATCAACATGAAGAAACAATTTCTAGGTTAAAAGAGGAAAGCCACCCACTTCTGTCTTTCTTAGGGAAGGCGCTTTTTTTTACAGCAGATGCAGGAAATTCAGGAGCTCCTTCTGCCATAACTTTTGCCGGTGTAAGAGTCTCCATTTTCTCAGTCATCTTCTCTTGATATTTCACCTCCTCTTCTTTCACCCAGTCTTCAATTGAGCTGGCCACCAGCTCAAGATAGTTCCTGAAAAGGACAATGTTCCTCTATTTACAATAATATACAGATCTCATTAATATGGTGTCAGATCAAACAAGATCATTTGCTTTCTCATTTTCTTAGACAAATATTATCCCATAACCTCTGAGAGAAGGGATGCATTTAACAGGATTTCTCCTTTTATTTATTTATTTACTTTTAATTTTTACAGGAAATGGTAGTTTTGCCTGGCTGGTGTTTGCTTAATATATCTTACATTTTGGATTTTGGTTCTCCTTCCTACAAAGACATTCTAGGAACTTGTCCTCTAAAGAACTTCTGCCATCAAAGAAAATCTAGACAGCCAGAAAACACAGAAACATTAAGTTTAGGAAAGGTTCACACTAATTCTCCTCCTCATTGTTTTGCCATTTAGAATAACTTATTCTCTTAGCTGCTTCTAGAATACACTTCATTTGTGCGTTGCTTTCAGCATAACAGCACTTAAGGAGGTGTTAGTCTAAATTTTAGCACTTTTCCATTACTATGATGAGAAAGGTGGTTGGTAATTTTCATCCAAATCCAGATTACAGAATTGTGCCATTATCTTGGCATAAATTAAGGATGTTTATAAGTAAAAATTGAAGTTAGCATTAACTGACAAACTGTATTGTCTTATCTTCCAAAGGCATCTGAAATAACCTTTAAAACAGTTAATTGCAGACAACAGCTTCCAAAGCAGGATGATGCCTGAAAGTCTTAAATGAGGTTGCCTTTCAGTCTCTTGTTTGGAACGTCACCATAACTCTTTAGAACAAAATTAGCAGGCATAATACATAATTCTACCTCGTGATCTGAAAACTAAAAGAGACTCTCAAAAATGCATGAGATTCAGTTGTATTTGTATAATGTTCTGCATTTATAAGCTCCAGATGATTCAATCGTATTCAAAGACTGTATACGCATCTGACGTTTTTGGTTGGAAACATGTATATAGGCACCTTATGCAAATCTTGACCTCGTTTTGCAAAATTACAGGCTTAAGATTCTATGCATGCTATCTATACAGACTAGAAATCTATACATTTTATGTTCAGCTTAAAGACACATAGTCTTTCCCAACTCCTTTAATGTATGTGGAGCTTACTTGGAGAAACTTGCACTGAGAAACTATAGCTCATATACTCAGTATAATACTCTGCTTGTATCTGAAGTGTACATTCTACAGAAACAAAAGTGTTAAAAACAAAAGGGAAAATTAGGCCGGAGCCTGGAGTTGTCAGTGTTGGAATAACCTGGAGATGAATATATGTTCTAAACCAAAATTAGACTATTTGCATGGAAAATACTTTAGGCCAGTCAGTTGTCACAAAACAGTCATTCAAAGTCAAAAATACATGCTCTATTAATATGTATTCTGATGTCACTACTGCCAATGCCTGACTCAAATTATTTCTCAGTAACTTGTGTAACGTGTTTATTACAAAAGAATAAACAAGTGTCATTGAGTAACTTTGAGTAAAAAAATGTTTTGGTATTTTCTGAATTATCAAGATATTCATGGGACTTGATATTCCTGGATCAGAAGTGTTACTGGAAACTCCAGGAACAAAAACAACAACAAAAAAAACCCTCCAAAAAGTCAAGTTGCTGTGATTAAAAAAAAAAAAATCATTTCCTTCTTGCATGAGAATTTGTTGTGACAGTAACTAACTGATTGGAAATCATCCCTCAATGAGTTGGCAGGAGGATATTCCTGATAGCAAATATGGATCAACTTACATACCTTTTGCAATAAAAAGCATTAAGTAAACACAAGTAGTGAACTACTAGCAGTGACATAGTAGTTATTGCCTCTGTTATTTCTACCTCTGCTATAGTGATACTGTGACTCTTAAATATGAACTAAACATTTGAATAATAGTAATAATAATAAAAACAAACAAAACAAAATTACTGGCCACTGAACTCATCAGCCAGTACTTTACACAAAGATAGAACACTAGTGCTTAATTAGTAAGTAGGATTTCATCCTCTGTGTGTGCTAACTCAGCAGGAGTTGGAAGCAGGCAATAGCTTGAAGCACTTCAGTTATTTAAAGACTGTCTTCCACAGATTAGTTATGTTGCTTGGAGACGTACACTAGTAAATATTTTACATTGGAAATCTGAAATGATCTTTGGTAAAAAAGGTTAAGCAAGGTTAAGCAAATTATGTTCATTTTACAGAGAAAAGGCAGGTACAGATGCCACATAGCAGAATCAAATGAGAGTCAGTAGCTTTTCAAAGATACTACATGGCAGAAATATCACTGAAGTTGAATATTCCTCTGAACCATGGATAAAAACAAATGTTCTGCTGAATGTCAGCTTGTTGAGGAAGACTTTTCTGCTTTCAACCAGAACCTTTGAACTGAACAAAGTTGGCACACCCAAGGCAGAAACTAACTTTAATGTCTAGACCTTGTTTGCAGTATATCTTGGAAAAAAAAAAGAGAGAGAAAAAGGAAGCACATGGTCAAACCATCCTTCAATGAATTGTAAAGCATCTGCAGAGAGTGTGCTTCATTCCTTCTCTGAAAAGAAAATTTGCATGTTTAATTTTGCATACATGAAGATATATGCAATATGCATATATCAAAGTATATGTTCAGGGATATTTGGCCTTGAATTGACTATCTCAATACACTCTCAAAGTGACCAGCTAAATTATTCTAGGGGAAGGGCTGTGGCAACTAACAGGGTAACAGCAGTATGTCATCAGGATGAGGTCCATGTATGAGGTTCTTCAAGTGACATGTTAGATGTATGTGATCTTTTGTCCATTTGCTGCTCCAGAAGTACGAGAGTCTCCTATGGGTTAGCTATCATATTTACCAGCCCTCTGCAGATATCACAGATGTGCTAGAGTGGCTAAAAAGGTTTGCGGTTCAGGTTACCACTTGAATCAGTCCCACATTGTCCTCTTCCCCAAAGAAGGAACAGTTAGCAGGCCTGCGAAACAAAAACCTTGGGCTCCAATACACTTATTTGTAACAGACTTTACTTGAGCCTACTGACTCTTTGGATCTACTTGAATGCAAGCCCGAAGTTTATCTGAATACAGTATACTATCTTTCACCATCTTTGGGGGAGATTGCACATTATATTTGTATACCAACACATACACCCACACATTTATATATTTACATATATAAAATATGTAAAAATTATCTATAAAAATTATAGATAAAAAACAATTAGTGGAATTCCTCCACAACCACAAAGCAGACAGCATTTCTCCAAAGAACTCCAGGATTTTGCTGGTAAATCTCTTTTGCCTTAGTTGATAACACTGGTCCCAATCACTGCTAATCCTAAAAGCCATTTTTTCCTGACAAATAATTCAAGTCAACATGCCTAGAAAATTCAGACAGACTCAAGTGGAGTTCCTTCACTGAGGACAAAGACTTGAAACAGGACTCAAGGAAGACATGTTCTGCCTATTTAACATTCACACTTGTTCATATATGTAGGTACAAATTTTTCATAAAAGATATGAATATTACGGCACTTGGAAAGCAAGGCTTGTGGAAAAAATATTGGAAAATGATCTATTTGGTCTATTAGATTCTATTTGATAAAAAAAAAAACAAATTAATCCACAGATCAGTTCAGACATCTCTGTGTGGCATTGTAGCTTAGTAGCATTTACATACTAGTATGTAGACATAAATTCTACTCTTGATCAATAAGCTGCACTAGTATTTGGATCCACATCACCATTTATACATCTGTTTCAGTGCAAAAATCTATCCTAAAATGAACAGGTCTACTCGCAAAAGTATGAACACTGCATACATCAAGAAACCATATACTTCTGACTAGAAAGTTTATGTAACAAACAAGAATTTGGTACTCGTGAAAAAAAAATAATAATAGTCATGTACATAAATACAGTCTGTGAAAAGTAGTCGCATATGTCGCAAGTGTAGTTGTCACTTTGAAAACCTTCGTCTCATCGGAATACTTTTGAAATAGCGCGGCTATCCAACTGTGTGATTTGCTTCTTCAGAAATGTGTTACATCAGGGTATTATCTTTTTCATTTCCAAACTTTGCTTCAACCTTTACCATGCAAGCTTTAATTGAAAATGGCTGTTGGTGAGACATGAAAAATGAAATGAATTACCTGAATCCAACATCAGAGTGCAATGCCATATCCCAGGTCTCTTGAAACAGACGGTACTGATTCATAGGATTGTGAAGGACCAGAAGCAAAGAGCTATCTTGGTTATGATAAAAGGAATCAATGCATCTATACTGTTGGGTTGCAGCATGGAGAACCTGAAAAGAAAAGAAATAAAGATTCATCCTCTCTGCAGGCACTAGTATGCACAGAGGCTATAGCACTGATTTTAGCAAAAGATGTTCCAAGACTTCGCCATTCTAGAAGACGTATACAGGCTAGTACACAAAGCATCTGGATTCCGATAATATGAAATGTTCATCTAGACAATCCTGACAGTGAGATTGTAGGAGGCAAAGCCATAGAGCTATAGTTTAGAATGATCTCCACCTGCTAAGACTGATCACAAATGAAGTGAATGAAAAATTTCAGGTAAAATCAAAGTTTAATAAAATAACTTGCTACACTTGTAACTGAGGTAGAAAAAAATGTTAAATTGATTTATTTTTCTTTTAGCTTACTTAAGTTCACATTGTACTCATTTTGCTGTACTATGATGTGAATATCAGTAAGATTTATTGTGTTTTATGTTGTTTCACTCTACTCTCTGTACTGTGCATTATTTTTCAGTATTTACATTGTCTTATAGCTACAGTTAAAAGAAAGCCTTCTTTTAAATTATTGTTTTTACAGTATTCCTGTTTCGAAATAAAGTTGTTATAATTACAGGTAATATATCATACAGTCTTGATTCTTTTCTAAAAATAAATTCCATACCAACAAATATTGTTTTTACATAATGAAAACCTTATAAACAGCTGAGCATAAAAATGTATTTGAATGTAAGAAGAAGAAGCTGGTGAAGGGGCTGGAGCACAAACCTTATGTCTGGAGAAGAAGAGGCCTAGGGGACACCTTATCACTCTCTACAACTACCTGAAAGGAGGTTGTAGTGAGGCTGGGGTCGATCTCTTCTGCAAAATAACTACCAATAGGACAAGAGGAAATGGCCTATAGTTGCGCCAGGGGAGGTTCAGGTTAGGTATTAGGAAAATCCTCTACATGGATGGTAGAAGCATTGGAACAGGCTGCCCAAGTAGTGGTGGAGTCACTGTCTTTGGCAGTGTTCAAGAAATGTGTCGGACTTAATGAGAAAGGATCACCTTAAACAGTATGTTAATTTTGTTTCCATCGTGCGTTTGGTTTAAAGGCTCACTACCAAAAAGGCCAGCTACAGTATGGTCAAACCAGAAAATTAAAAGCAATTATAAACTAAATACCAGATAATTACCTACTAAATACTAGCTGACGAAAAACGGTCTAAGAACATTCTGATAAATATTTATCAGGGATTAAACTGAATCAATTACCTAGCACAGAACTATCCTTTATCCTATTATTAATTCTCTGTACACCATTCTGAAGAGAGACTGTATCTATATTATCATCAGCTAATAGATACCTGAAGAAAAACATGTGGTTGAAAATGCTCAGCAAAAATCCAGTCCGTCAAACAACGCTTCTGAGTCTTTTTTATTTCTGCTAAGTTTGATTCTGGGCTGTAATTTTCTGGACTCACCTCAAAACACAGCAAAACAAAATAATGAGCATCAACATTTCAGTGTCAGTTGTATAAAATATAATCTTGTCAACTTAATGGACAATATTCCATATTGCATCACAGTTAATTGTACACATGCGCACATGTGTAGATCCAAATGGCAAAATTTAATAGAAAACACAATTGCTTCTAATTTTTTTTGCCTTTGAATTTTTATGGCAAACATAATCTAATTATTTTTATTATTAAGTTAAAGGTTTTTGAGTGCTGTAAGCAATTATGAATATTTAGACAGATTCTATGAAGTCACTTTAAAAGCGCTATATTTATCTAGAGTTGTATGACAAGCAGGTGTTTCTGAAGATGCCAAACTACACAGTCTATTACTGTGACACAATTTGGCACTTTCTCTTAAACCATCATGCTAACATTTGAACTCTGGTATTTAGTGAAACCAGCACAGAATTGTCATTCGTAGCTTCACCCAAATCCATCAACTTACAGCTAAAAAAAAAGATTTTATAATTTTTAAGGCACTATCTCTGAAATATCACAAAATTAACATTCACATAAAACATCGCAATCCCTGCATTGAACAGTGTTTTCCATTGTTTCAAGTTACAGAGCGCTATATATTCAATTCATCACACTTGCCATTTCAGAAATAAAAACATCCAAGTTTTTGTTTAACATAACATCTCTCCCATCCTTGTTGCTTGTTTCCATCTGTCCTGGAAAATGAAAGCAGAAGATTAAAAAGAACTCCAGAAATTTCCGCCTTAAACACAAAGGTCAGAGTGATACAGTTTCCTTAACTTCCTCTGAAGAGATCGTCTCCAGATTGAATCTTCCAGTCCACTAAATACATGAGCAACTCTGCCACACTTACTTCCTAAATGAGCATTGTATGGGCAACAAGCCCCAAGCTGTTCAGCCAAAAAAAAAAAAAAAAAGACAGAAAGTAAGAGAGAAAGAGAGAAAGAAAACAAGAAAGCAAGAAAGCAGGAAGGAAAGAAGGAAAGAAGGAAAGAAAGAGAAAGAAAGAAAGAAAAAGAAAAAGAAAGAGAAAGAAAGAAAAAAGAAAGAAAGAAAGAAAGAAAGAAAGAAAGAAAGAAAGAAAGAAAGAAAGAAAGAAAGAAAGAAAGAAAGAAAGAAAGAGAGAGAAAGAAAGAGAATGAAAGAGAAAGAAAGAAAAACAAAAAGAAAGAAAAAGAAAGAAAGAGAAAGAGAAAGAGAAAGAAAGAAAGAAAGAAAGAAAGAAAGAAAGAAAGAAAGAAAGAAAGAAAGAAAGAAAGAAAGAAAAAAAAAGAGAGATGAACTCTGAACCCTTTATCCCCTTTATAATCTGATAAATAATACTCAATGTTCTTTTATAGACAAAAAGAAAAAAAACACTAATTTGATACAAAAATTGTGAACTTGTTAAATTCATCGGGCTTTTAGAGTTTTATAAATGACTGACAGAACATTACTTATGCTGAGAACATTACTTATGCTGAGGATCTTGCCAGTCTTTCCTGATAAACTACCTGCATTACAATGGCATTGGATAGCTGCTGAAAATAAACAGGATCACATGGAATCTTTTCAAGAAGACAAAACATAACTCATACATTCTCAGTGATTTTACCTAGAAATTTTCCACATATTTTTGGCCCAACATAAATGTATCTAATGTGACTGTTAAAAAATGATGTTTAAACTAATAATCTAGAACATCAATTCTACCATATGTTTGATTTAGTCAGACTTCATCAGTCTTGTATTTTTCATTTTCTCACAACTCTTTGAAGAATTCTCCTATTTTTTTATGGCCTGACTAGATACAAGGGTCAAATATATTTTGATCATAATTCACATATGCCAGAAAAATACTCCTTCTGTGAGAAAATACTACATAAAGTATTTGTTTGTATGTGGACCATAGCCAGTTCCACTTCTAGATGTAGATTTTTAGTCTCTGCTTTTATGGGAAATTAGGTCCATTTATTAACTGCTATATAAAGATATAAGGAATCTGAAAGTTACTTAGTCTGTCTTCAGTAAGCGACAAAGGAGTTTCCTAGAACATGTCATGCTTTTCTACAGATATTATTTTAGAGTTGCTTAAATAAAATGTTTAATGTTATCTTACAAAACAAAGCCCTAACTTTTGTCACTATCTACTATGCCTACAAAGATATCCAAAATACAGCCTACTAAAATATGATCTGTACAATGAAGAAAAGTCATAACACTGATTTACCAAATGATGTGGTAAAGAGCATATACAAATTCTTCAGGAGTAATGTAAACGGAGGGTTTTTTACCAGAGCCTCTTGAAGATTTCCCATTAAGCTTCTTTTCTGCAAGGAAGAGTTGTCTCAGGTGTCTTGCAAACCCAGCTGGATTATCCCAGGGGATATAGGACACTTCAGATTCACTTCCAGCCACGGACTCACAACTCTCCAGGAGATCAGAGCCACTTGGCCCAGTTAGCCTCAGACTTTCAAAAGTAAACACTTTGAAGGCTCTTTCTACTTCCGCCCAACTCGTAAATTCTATAGAAGAATCATAATCATTCACTGAAAATATCCTTATGATTTAGCAGAAGATAAATACAAGACTATGTGAGCTTATTGTTGGCAATTCTACAAAAGCTTATTTCCTTAATGCTATTGAGTCAAATTATCAGTGCTACATTTTATTCTATATTCCAGGTCTAATGTGTCCAAACATAAAAATGATAAGCCCAACTATTAATCCATCTTAAATGAAGGGCTTGCTACATGCTGTTGCTGCCTCTTGGCTTATTAACTTTTATATAAACTATGTTGATTTAAAAATACTGACTAGACTTTATCGAACCAGATTAGCAACTAGGTATTTAAGTTATATTTCAAGAAAAGGCTTCCATTAGTGCTTTTACTAGTGACTGAACACATTGCTGTCTATACAAGAACAGTAACTATGAGAATTACGGGAATTCACCTGAAAGCATGTAGTTCAATACTCAAATTATAAACCTCCTTGATAAGTACAACAGTGAAAAAGGTACAAGTCAACTTAATAGTTGGGAGAGTTTACCGTATAGTACAGTGCAGTGAAGACCATCAAATCTAACACCCACTAGCTGGCATGTTACAGTGATACAGAACACCTTAATAGCTAAGACATGCCTTCTAAAATGAACACATCAAAAACTAGAAATGTTACAGCCAGTGCAAACTAATCCAACACATGGGATTTCAAAAATGAATAGCAGGGAAGGCAGCTTCCAATCATTTGCCCTATATGATGGCATAAATGCAACCAAAGAGATTTGGATTTTGATTTCTTAGTCATCATAGAGTACCAAAATGTGTTTTTTTGCAGTTTTTATGATTTTTTCACTGTCTATATTATAGTTGCATCCATATTCCAAGAAAGGGTAACTGTAAAAGCAATTATGGCTCATGAAGTGAGCGTATTCTGCTGATTGGATAAAGGGACTACTATAAAAGCCACTTTGCTATTAGCATCAACAACTTATAGAGAATACTTTTTGAAAACCACTGTTATTTCCTAGTAAAAATCATGTAACATACATGTGATTCTCCACAACAAGGCCATTGCTAAATACAGTGTTTATGTCACTGTGTCCCAAAATTCATTCTGTGTTCTAAGGTTAAAATGGCATTTTTGTAACCAAAAAAAAAAAAAAAAAAAACCACCCGCAAAAATGGTGTGTATTTATTGAATAAATAAGAATTCTGACATACTGCCAACTCTTAGCCAAACAAAACTAGTATAGCCTTGCACAGTGACCATAAAACTGAGCTCTGAACTTAGCCTAACTTTTAGGGTAGGCTAAGGTCTCATCAAGAAACTGAAAACTGGGAAACGCTGCACGAGGTTTTAGGTAAATGAAAACATCTATACACAGATTCCTGCTATATAACAGGATCATTAGCCACAATAAAAAGTAATTATATCAGTAAAAATAAAATCAATTCACCAGTGGTACAATAATGCATGAGCTCATGAACTCTAGCCAAGCGTTTAGTGTTGTCCTCAGGTGAAGGAAGGTTGAATTGGAGAATTTTTTTAAGAGGCAGCTTGTCCAACATTTCACGCTCAATTTGTTCTGGATTTAAGTCCTCTTGGATCTGGAACAAAATTCAGAATATCAGAACTAAAGTAAATGTTTACAATAGTGGGCTTCTAAAACTAGGTTGAATAAATGATAGTCTTTATAACTGAAGACATAAAAATGTGCTTAAGACAGTGGGATGTATACTTAAATTTGGCCAGGTGCTCAGAGTGCTTCACTGAATCATGGGAGCAGATATTTTGAGGAGGAAAATGACAGCCAGAAACAAATAACTGAAAGTAGCCATAGTCAGTGATTACTTGTCTAAAGATATTGGCCTTTGCTAGCCAGACTCCAAACTTCTGGAATACATAGCTGTGTACTGATTATTCAGATAGGCATCAGGACAGTTGCATACATCTTTAAGTTGGTCTGCACTACAGTTCACAGAGATGAAGATCATAAACTCACTGATAATTCTGTGACAATAATGTCACTATGGATTTTAAGGATCTTACTCTTGAATTTTAAGGATCTAACGACTCTCGAGATTTCTTTGAGAATCCTTCAGGTTTGTTCTTTCTAACATTGTCTTTCTGTGTTCTGCATGACTTCCTGCACATTATTCCTGGACCGCATCTCCCAAATCTGTTTTTTTCTCCAGTTCTTTCTCAAACACTGTGCTATATCCTGATTTTATTTTGCAGCAAATACAGGTCTGCTAAGAGCAATCTCTCAGTGACTACTCAGTTTTGTCTTTTACTTCAATACCATCAATGTATCAAGCCCTATTTTTAAAAAAATACTATTTAAACAAAGCTTGTAAAAATGGTGTACAAACTGCAATCCAGGAAACCAGGCAGATGGTCTGCAGCCTAGCTATGAAATCTAGAATTAAATTAACATTTGTGTTGTCTTCAGTGTATTTTATATTCAGTGTTTAATGGTAAAATTATACCCTGACTTCAGGAAAATTTGAGGAATTTGCAACCTTTATTTTGAAAGAATTCTAAACCTTGCAGTGGACTCTGAACCTTTTTGCCTATGTTAGATTTCGGGAAAAACAGCAATGACCTGTATATACACTATGCTTCTGCCATTTAAGCCCCAAATGAATGCACTTCTTGTATTCACTCACAGACTTAGTCCTTTTTCTTATATTTCTCCACCTCTTTCTGTTTATTCTAGTCTATTTGCTATTCCACTGTTATCAGTGTAGTAACTCAGTGTCTGTATCAATTTCATCTGCACTAGATGAAACTAAACCAGAAGATCTGTAATATTGCTTAACTGTGCCAAAAGCTAAACTCTCTCATTAACAGTGCAAACAGATCACTGATGTCAATATAGTGCTCTGTACTTTGTGATCCATGTTCTCTGTCAATTACAGTCACAAGTTTCACCTTAAGCAGACTACACACAAGTGTTAGTGAGCCTATCCAGTAGGAAAAATCTAGACTATCCTACTCTTCTTTGTAAAAATACCACTTAATCATTCATAGTGCATTATATATTGATTGCCTGCAGACTTTAGGACTGTTTAGATACTATAGATAGCACTATACCTCCAGTAGATGCAATCGCTGAGCCAGAGTATCATGGTAGTTTAGTAAGAGAGGGCCCCTGGGGGTCACAGCCTCTCTTTCATTGTATTTGGAAGAAAAGTAGTCAAAGAGATTCTGTTAAATAAGAAAGAGATAGATAAAATTAACATCAATAACCAGTTATTTGTCAGTTCAAAAAACAAGGAAATGACAACACAAACCTTTCTTTCACTGTCAGAAAGTGGAAGAGAAGGAAGGATAGAGGTTATATGATCTGCAATGGTATGATCTAGTCCATCTGCCCGCGGCTCTGGTACCATCAGGCTAGGTGGTGTAAGGTCTTCTTCACTTGCAATAACCTAGCAGACATGACACATAACTTTCATTGCAGTATGATTGCTACTCAACTACACTAAATTTACAAAAGTAGACCTTCACTATAAGCTACCTACAAGTTACACACACACACATATTCATAAATTTTCTCTGAAAAGAAAATCAAAATATTTTTGCACAAGCAGCAAAACTAAAGTTCTCTGTGTTAGTCTGAAATACAGAAAGCAGTAACCTAAATGTGTTCTCCTATTTTACACTTTGGTTAGGAAGGATGAGAAGAAATATATTTCCAAACTGAAAAGTTAAGATTTTTTAATGTACACAGATAATAAAAAACTGATTCTGCATCAGATGTTGGATCTTATCCTGAGTAATTTTGCTTGAGTCTATTTTCAGATTATACTGCAAATAAACTAAAAAGAATAAAAGAAGTGTTGAAAGAAGTGTTGAAGAAGAAGTCTCATTCTAAATCATTCCGTGAATCGTTGCTAATTTGTGTCTGAACTTGACAGAAGTCAGAGGTGTCAAGGATTAGCATAAATAACGTCACTTTTAGTGCTAAACTTGCCCTAGATGGGCATCTTTGTATAGTGACTAGAACAGTAAACATCCAGTACCAAGACTATTGTTGCAGCATACGAAAACTTGCTATTAACTCAGCTAACAAATTACGCCTTTTTCCTCACATGATTATATTGGATTTGCACTCTTCAAAAGATAACTTTGGATAGCACTCTATTTACAAGGCAAGTGCACTATATGAAAAGAGAAGAAGAACTTTGAGTCTTAATTCCTGTATAATGGACCTGTATATTCCTGCATTCTGGTCAGTTCCTCTAGGCATAGCCTCTTCCTTTAGACTGAAACATTTTTTTTTCTTTTTTTTGTCTTTGATCAATTCATAACAACAGTGCTCAGTTGAATAAACCACATGAACAGATAAGAAAATGCTATCACCTGTTCCAACATGCAGTTCAAGATTAAAGACACAGAAATGCATTCCTCAGGAATCTGACTCAGCAAGTCATTATAATACCTCAAGTCGACATGAGCGGCCAGAAGAGAAGCTTCTTCCTCTGTTGTAATAAGAGACAACATACTAAGATTTTTTTCAGAAATGACAGTTTTATAGAACAGTTCAACTTTTAGGTAATTTCATAGAAATACTGAAAAAAGTCCACATTTGCTCTAGCTTTTAAACCCAACTGTGATTCGTAATAGCTAGATGAAGTGATTCTCTAAAGAATTTAGTTATCACCATTGCAGTTTCCAGAAATTTTCACAATGTATTCACTCAGAAACTACCCATGCAACATCAAATCACACCTTTGGTTTACCGAACAAATAACTTCAGGGAATTGTGTTGTAATGAATGAACAGTGAAACAGAGTGAACAACTACAGAGCAACACTTTAATCTTTTGCACATACCCTGTGGCAAAACTACTGTCGACACAACTTCTTCTGCTTGCCCTTTTTTCTTTGAAGATATAGTTGGTGATGTTGGATGTACCTAAACGAAGAGAGAATTTGAAAAAGTCAGAACAATTGAGAAATGTCACATGTAAATGCATGAGCTCACCTAACTTTTGAAAGGAGTACAAGATAGTAAGTTGTAAGATAGTTGCATTTTTATAAATGCTTTAAATGAGCCTGCATTCAGTAGCACTGCTAGAGAACGGAGTAATCCCATTTTTTCCCTGTCACTAGTTTACATCTCACAAGCCACTTGGCTACTATACAGAGAGTAAGGTAACTGATTGGAGATTGAACTAATATTGTGCAAGCACTTTGTTTTTTCTAGACTTGCGAATGTGTAAAATATGCTCATCAGAAATAAAGCAATTTGATACTTTATGCCAATAACGATACGACCCTTCAAGATTTCCTTTTTGTTTCCCTAATGCTCTGCTATTTTTAATGAAGTTTTAAATGCTGAAGACAAAAGTTCCAGTATTATTCTTAGCAAATTATACATGGAGTGATGGTCTAAGCTGAATTTTTGACTGCCAAATTGAAGTCAGCTAATCCACTCCATTTATTCTTTATAAGAAGCATGGTAAAGGATAAAAGAGAGATCCTTACCTCTGTTACAGGGGATTGTGTCAATTTGTTCTTTGATAATGTAGGCACATTAATCAGTTTGGTGTTTTCCAAGTAGTTACAATGCTGTCTTTTCCAGTCCAGGCAATCATACATTAAACAAGCAATACTTTCAAACAGTGTAGTGCCACATACAAGCTAGGAAAGAAAAACGAGATGCAAAGAATGAACTTCAGATACAAGAGTGTCATATAATTTAGCCACGGGACTCTCTAGTTCTTTAACCAAAAGCTGTTTAAAAATCTGCTAAAGGACTTTTTCTCCACTAATTCAAATGTTTGGTAGAGTAATTTAAGAAAACAGAGCCTCATCTTCATTTGTCTAATGATTATCACACCACAGTAAAATTGAGTGTTGCCGAATTGCTGTTGTACGGAGCCTATCTGAATTTAAAAGTAGCCCTTCTACTCTTTTGTAACAGGAAAGTAGGTCTTGTTTTGGATGGGAAGAAACAGGGAAGATGTATCTTCTATATGATATAAAGGCATGTTTCTATTGGTGATCAGCCTGCGGCATACTTGCAATGTCAAATATTCCTCTGCCCTAAAAGGACAGAAGTTCAAAAACAAAAAACTATCAATGGCACATTTCTTCACTGTTGTTGCCCTTCTAAAACAAAGGAAAACCTCAAGACTTTGATTCTGAATTCTAAAGCAGTACAAGCACCAAAACATCACCATACAATCCTAACTTTCAAAGACAGAAAGCTGTATTTTCAAAAATTTGACAATCGAGGAGTCAAGGTAACTAAGATGGTATACTGTGGATAACACTCAGGCTTGACAGGACACTAGCTACTATTTTGAATATGAAATGTTTTGCCTATGTACCAAAAACCTGCCCGAAGCCACATGTCTCAGGCTTCAGTGGCTTTAACGGGCCATATTCTTCTTTTCTAAATCCTAGACATAACAGGAAAGATGTAATGATGGTGATTTTAGACAACTGTTGTTGTTGCCTACTGTAACAGACCATTTTGCTTTCATGAAAGTAAGAGAAGACTCTTGGATTAAGGAGTTTGCCGATAAGAGGCTCATACCTTGCACAGTATGAAAACATTAGAACAAGTCACATGAAAATAATGCACAAGTCGGTGCATTCTTTTAGCATTTTCTTCTTGTTTGCTTAACACAATCACGGTAGAGCATGTTTGTCCTTCCTTTCCTCCCAGAGAGGTGTGATAAAGACAAATATAAAAATAGATAATTCTGTATAAAATCTAATGAGAGTGGCTGGAGAGCTGCTGCGCATGGCAGTAGAAATCAGTTTAGTGAAATCCAACTGCCAACACAGGACCAGCAGGTTAAAAAATGGAAATCAAGACCTCGGAAGACAGGATACAAATTATGAAACTATCAACGATATCTTTGGCTAAGAGACTTAAGAAATTATTTATGATAACTTTCGATGTATATTATTGGTTTTGGACTCCTTCCACATGACAAGAATGGTAACATTCTGTGACAACAAGAAAGATTTAATTACATTGCTTTTACTTAATCCTCCCAGATTGCCTGTGTTGTATAAAGGCTTGATGCAATAGCTTGGTCAAGAACTATAAAAATGACTAACATTTGATGTGTCAGTTTTGTTTTCTAAAATGAATCCCAGTGAGGAAGCACCAACTGCCTTTAAGTGCTAAATGCAGATTAACTGACCTTTGAGTATCAAGCAGCTGCTTTCTCAAACTCATGCTTTCTTTACGGCAGTTTATGGCAAAATAAGTACACCAAATCACTGATCATTTATGAAATATTTGTTTCAGTTATGTGGTATTTAAAGAGAAGATATTTGGGAGAGAAGTTCTAAGTGCAGAATTTTTGAAGTTAATATTTGTATACCTTTGTTAATAGCATTAACTGGCACTGCTTACTGGGACAGATGCAAAGGATTGTATAATTACAGATTTATGATCCAATTTGTTTACTCTCTCCTCCAAACAGACACAGAGGCTCATCAAAAGAAAATTCTCTAACTAGAAGCATGGCACTTGGGGAAAGATGACTATTTTTGGAAAAAAAATACATGAAAAGAAACTACTTTCTATTTATAATATTAAATCACTTTTATATCCAATGTCTAACAATGTCACAAGAGTTCTCCTCTGTATCTTTGGCTTCAAAGATTCATCAAGCTAGGACTCAAAAACTCTCCAAGGACAACCAGAACAGAGCCACATGACTTCATGACCTATGTTCTTCTCATCTATTTCTTTCTTCTTCTTTATTTACAAATCTCCCTACTTTAGAACTCTGTTGAATTCTGATTTACAGAAGAATGTGAGGACATAACTACAACCTGCTAGAAACAAAATCAGTGACAGATATGTTCTCTTTTCTATTTCAGTAAGGATAACTGCTTACAGGATATTCATAACCAGCAACAATTCCCTAGAAGTGATTCTGAAGAGGATAGACAGGATTAAAGAACTTCTTTCTCAAACTAGGCTTCATAAAACCACATCGATAGTATAATGGCAATTCTACGTACTTCTGCAGTTGAGGCATTTCTAATGAATGCCTTAGAAACCACTGTGGATTTAGACAAAATCAGTTCTGATCCCTTCAGGTTCAAGGATACTTCTTAGCTCACAAGACTGTTTATATAAAATTTAATATAGTATAAATAAATGCCCAGAGACTGTAGTCTCCCCTTTAACCGAACTACTAAAAACCAGAAATGCAGTAGGGTAAATTATGGAATGTTGCTTTATTTTGTTTTAGCAATCTATGTTTTTTACTGCTGCCATTGTAGACTGGAAGACACTGGGCCTTTTTATTTTGCTGCCTTTCAGATCCTATGCTGGAAATTTTTTCTAATGGTTCACTTTCTCTGCCAGTAATAATGGCCCTGACTCATCAGAGTAAGCAAGAAACCAGAGGCATGCTTTGGGCAGCACAAAAAGAAAGAGTACTGGATGAACTAAAACAGCATCTAGATCAGAGTGTTTCTGCATTCATTTTCATTTCCTCTCATGACTTTTCTGACATTCAGTAAGTAGAATTGCTGCTAGGAATACAAAAATACAGTATTTCATGTCATTTCATACCAACATTAGACTCTTCCAAATTACAAATTGGGTCTATGTGAAGACGGAGAATTTATACAATCCTTCTGTTTATAAACTCTGTTGCTATGATTTCCAATGTTCAGATACTTCAACTCAGATATTTTTATTCAAAGAACTCCTTTTGAATATATGCTGAATAAACTTGTTGGATACATGGATAAATATTTTTATTCAAAATCACAAATTACTAACTCTTTTGGTTCTGGTTCATAGATGACAAAGCTCAAATTCTCACCATTCCTAAGTTCATGCTAAATATTACAAACCCAAAAGTGTGCCAATGCATTATTATAAAGCAATCTACTGACCAGCATTTCACTGTCAGACCAATCAGGGGGAAAGGAACTCTCCTTAACCAGGTGATGAAGTCTGGCAACATCAAAGAGACTTGATCCATGCTTTCCGCTGTTCAGAATTGGCTCCAAGTATTTCCAAAATGTTTCCAGGTCTTTGATAGCTTCATCCCTCTTTCTTTTCTCTGTTTCTACAACTAAAATGTTTAAATATTAGATAAATTAGTATAAAGTCCTCTTTTTAAGGAAAGCATAAATAGCATATTAGTCTTCTGTAAGTACGATTAAAATATTCCCATTCTCACCGACACAGAAAAAAAATGATTCCCAACTTAGAACTCCCAGAAGAAGGAGCCTCAAAAAAACATGGCAATTCTTTTAGAGGAAAAAAACCTCAAACAAACAAACAAAAGAAACAAAACCCCCCAAATACTTGAAATTCAGGAAATATAAAAATCCTATGTTGCACTTTTCAAAGATGCCAGTACCCAGTCCAAACTGCTCTATAAACATTGGGTAAGCAAGTTGTATTATTACCATTACCCATCCCAACTCCATCCTCGCCTGCCCCCCATCCCTCCTCAGAAAAAAAGACTAAGGTCTTCATGACTATGAATAGTTAGTTTAGCAACTGTATGGTTTCCATTTTTATCGTACTGTAGTGCTGTAGTGATCAATTTTCAAAGATGCTCTGACTACAGAGAAAAACAGGTTTTCTCTTAATGCCACCAGTAAGGCAAATCATCCTCTGGAATCAAAGAATCAACAATACATTTAACAGCATAAATTTAAGAGATATAGGGACAATAAACCTGTAGTATACTGCTTTCATTTGGAGTATGGGTTCTCAGCACATCTAATATCTAATTATCATGGGCAAATATATCACTAGCATAATTTCAGTGTCCTCATGGGTTTCAAAAAAACCAAATCCATAAGGCTGTAGATTCTTCCAAAAAGACTGACTCTCTTTATAGTTTTCAAAGTTATGTATGCCTTCTGTAGCAGCCATCAAAAACCATGGCTAATTAACTTAAAAAATAGCTGTATCTTTACTCTAAAGATATGTATCCTAAAATGAGTGCAGAAAGTTAGGCAGTCTGGGAAGTTTGCCGGAAGGTTCTGTAGGTAGAAGAATTTCATATGAGTTCAAGCAGAGACTAAGTACTTAGAAAATAAATAAAACAAATCCACTGAAGATTACTAAAAAGACAAAAGACATCAGGATCAGGAAAATCCCCTGACTTGAAAATACTTGGAAGATAAGTGAGGTGAGGTGAAAAGGCAGTGAGAATGGGAGGGGAAGTTTCACACAGGCTTTTCCTATTACTCTTTTCCTTCTCCTATTGTTTCCTTGCCTGTCTTATTTTCCTACTATTCTTTTCCTTCTACTATTCTTTAGGCACCAGTTTATGGAGACAGAAACATGGTCTAGATGATCACTTGACTTTAGAGAGTTTTGTGCTCCTAATTGCTCATCATAGTCTTCTCTTTTTTTTTTTTTTAGCTGCTCATGAATGATACCATGTAATTCAGGACAATATCTCTTCTGTGGCAATGTTCCCCTAACAAGGTTGGTTTTCAAAGCTGGTCTTGGCAGTATCAGGGGCTGCTGAGTCACGAATCAACCTCTTTGTAATTTTGAATGAAACATGAATGGCACTATGCTACTAGCACTGTAGACAGACAGTCCTGTTTTACAGTAGAAGAATAACATTTTAGTAACTCTGTCCCATAGTTTAATTGATTTTAAAAAACTTGAAAATAGGTTTAAAAATGGATTTTCCACTTCACCAAACATTACAGCTTCCCATCATCAATCACCTGCATTGCTCTTATCTTTCAGTACTATCCCACTCTCATTCTTATTCCTGCTTTTCGAAGCATTTCTTTTCTTAAGTATATTTTCTCAGTATAAACTCTCTTAGAACAAATTAAAGTTTTAGTAAATAACCCCAAGGAAGCTAAGGGGAGATATTATCAATGGAGAGTTGGGGCAGCTCCACAGAATAACTGAATGACCTTGAAGTCTTCAGTGACAGAAATGAGAAAGTATTTAACTCTACCTGATTTGGGACCAAATCACCCTTTTTATAATCATATTAACTGAAAATGTTGGAAGATAAGCATCTGGTGTATACTAATAAACCACACAGAAATTTTGTACCATAACTATGAAAACAGGAATCCTAGGGTCGTTACGATATATGTGTCAAGTTAGCTATTTTCAGCAGACAGAAAACAATTCAATTTTTTTAGACTGAGAAACTGCTCTCAGTTCTGAACAGTAACTCAGAAAAGCTGAATTAACAGTGGAAAAGCTATGTGAGTGATCAGAGGAATAGTAAATTAACTATACAAAAGGATACAAACAGAAGTTTACATCACAAAATGAAAGTCATCAGACACCAAGAATGGAAAAAAAAATCATGAAAGCTATGTTCCCTCCTCCACGACTTGTGAGTATTCAATCTCACCTGCAGAAAATTTCTTCTTGATGAATTGGATTTTCTCAATTACAATTTAAATCCTTAACCTTCTGTCCCTTTATATGCATGAAAACTTGCCATGTTTGACCCAACTCCCTTCAGTCTTCTCTTAACTTAAGGATAACAACTATTCCTTTTTCTTTTTTTCCACAGATCACTTTTTAAGAATCACTAATCATTTTCTTTCTTGGAATCTTCTGATTGACACACACATCTTCTAAGGTCCTACCTCAATCTTGGGTAGTGTAAGATTACTTCAGGTATTTTTTAAACCATATTCTCATGTATAACCTGCAGATGATAATTTTTAAGTGATACAGTTTTAGTAGTATAGCTATTTGCTGACTTATGTTTAATTTGCCACTCCAACAGAATAGCTTATCTAAGAGACCTGTCATCCAGTCAGGCATTTCCTAGCCTGTATTTCTGCATTTTGTTATTCCTGTATCACTATACTACCTCATAGTTGTCCATATTAAACAGAATACTCTTTTGTCTAGATAATTATTCTCCATTCTGTCAAGATCATTTCTGTATTTGAATCACATACTCTCACTCCAGTATCAGTGAAAATATCCAGTAATACCAGACCCAGCACAAATTCCTTTACAATTCCTCTCCATGCATCATCCTATTTCCCCAGTAAACTTTTGACAGCTATTCTGTAGGGTCTAAAGTTTTCCAAGAGAGGAACATGTTGACCCCATTCTGATTTGACTAGGGCATAAAATTAACCCAGGGCTTTCCATATTTGAGCTAGGTTCTCCCTGGAAGCAGTGAGTGTGCAGTGGAGAACTCTCTCCTTGGGTTGAGACCCTGTCTGAGGAGACTCCTTGAGTGTGAGGGTGAGTGATTATTGCACATTTGTACATAAGGGCTAGCTAAGAACCCAGTGGTGTAGTAGAGAAATTCTTGTACTGACACCCGCAACCTGCTTAGCAAATGTTGCATTTGAATAAACAGTGCTATTTGTGAGCTCGACTTGCTGCATTGAATGCAGTTGGCTGCTGTTGACTATAGGTCTGGATCACAAAGTGATTCATCTCTTAACACTTTTGCCCTCCTTAAAACAGCAACACCGGTATTTTTGCAGAAACAGAAATTAAGCTGATTACAGTCCCTTAACTAGTTGTGGTTCTCTTCCTGTTCTTCCCAGGTCTTTTTCCACTGTCTCACTTGTCCTTACAAGTTCTTAAATATAAATGGCAGGCAGATCTTTAAATAGGATGCAGTAGGTCCATCTGAATCAGCTGATCTGAAAACTTCTCTACATTACTTAAGTGGTATTCAGATACTCTACCTGTTCCCTCCCAGTTTAACGTTGATATCTTATTTCTCCGTCACCAGTATTAATTGTGCGTAATAATAGTCATTATTTGTTTGCAACTCATATTTGTAGTGAAGAAATATTCAACTCACCACAAAGCACATAGATGTATAAAAACAAAACTTGTCAAACAATTCAAACATGACTTTCAGGCCATCAGTTGATTCTATGATTGCTTAAGTCTTAAAGGGTAAATCTACACGATCTTGTTAGTTTACCTTCAATGGCACTTTAAGATCAAATTCCCTAGTGCCTGTACAATCCAGCCTTTAGAATTCGCCGTAAGACAATATAAGTTCTGGTCAAGAGAAATGAGAGTAGAATCCCGACACAGTCTTCAAAACACTCATGTAAGTAGATGGTTTGCATACATCATGATCAGAACTGGACTGGTTCACAGCATCCTGTCCATGTCCATCAGCGCACCTAAACTATCCTTGTGAGCCCTTCTTGCCCAACACACCCAGGACACTATTCCTCCCATGGAATCTCTACTGGATTGCTTGTGCCATCACAGTGGCATCAGGGTCTGTAATAAGGGATTTCCCAGCATCACAGGGAATCTTGCACAATGCTTTTGCTACAAAAAGTCATAATGCAAAGTTATAATCAGAATCACAATTAATCAAACACTACTCTCATGACTACCTATGACTACCATACTCACTTTTCTCACTTCCAGCTTTTTATCCACTTTGATGTACAGCTGAAACAATTTAGGTTGGACGGATCTCAACTTTCTGCTCAAACCAGGTCATTATGGAATTGAGACCAGGTGGCTCAAGCTATTGTCCAGCTCACCTGGACCTACATAACCTCACTGAACAACCTGTATCAATGGTTGACTATCCTCAGGGTAAATCTTTCTTTATATCTCATCAGAACCTTCCATTTCAATTCATGACCACTGCTTCTTTTTGTCTTTCCATGCATCTCAGTGAACAGTCTTGCTCTGTTCTTGATAATCCTCCCATAGGTAACAGAAGAATAGTATTAGGTTTCCCATAAGCCTTTTCCAGGTTAAAGTAGCTCAGGTCTTTCAGCCTTTCCTCACAGGACAAGTGTTCCAAGTCCTCTGACCATCTTGGTAATTGCTGGGCTCACTCAGTTTTATCTGTATATTTCTTCTACTGTGTAATCCAAAACTCTTATCTCATGAGTGCCAAGTAACAGGGAATAATCACTTCCCTTAATCTACTGGCTATGTTACCCAGAAAAATAGCCCAGTATGAGTAACTTCAATCAATGACTCATGTTTAGCTTGCTGTCCACCAGGATCACAGGTCTTTTTCAACACAGTATCACTATGCAGTTAGCTGGCCCCAGGCTTTGCATTAACATCTGTGGCAACTTCATGAAAATGATTAAGGGACTGGAGCTATCTAAGAGGAAAGACTAAGGGAGCTGGGGCTGTTTAGGCTGAAGTAGAGAAGACTGAGAGGAGATCTGATCAACATATATAAGTACCTTAGGGGTGAATGTAGGGAGAATGGGGCCAAAATCTTCTTCGTGGTGGCTGGTGACAGGACAAGGGGCAATGGGTGCAAGCTGAAACACAGGAAGTTCCACCTTCATGTGAGGAAGAACTTCTTTACTGTGAGGGTGACAAAGCCCTGGAACAGGCTGCCCAGAGAGGTTGTGGAGTCTCCTTCTCTGGAGATCTTCAAAACCCGCCTGGATGCCGCCACCCTGTGCCACGTGCTCTAGGTGTCCCTCCTGGAGCACGGGAGTTGGACTAGATGATCTGTAGAGGTCCCTTCCAACCTTAACCATTCTGTGATTCTGTGAACTTCTTCTCTGACTGGGGCAACACGGCTAGCTAGGCACTTATCTTAAAATGATCAAATGACCCAAGTTTTCTTAACAACAAACATTCCTGGCTAATGATGTATAAAATTTGATAAAATGTTGTCTTTGTTATCTGCTGACTACTGCACAGACTAGTAACTGCAGCCACTGACTGCTTAGTCAATCCTTGTTACTGCTATCATTGCTTCTGCTATCTAGCAGAGGCAAACCTGGACAGTTGTATCATTTTTGCATTGCTACTCACAGGTGGTATGTGAAATCACAAGGCACAGAGAGAGGTAAAAATAGCATCAGAAACAGTCTTGACAAGAAATAACATAGTCCTCCTTCTACACAATTTTTGTAGGATACATGTTCTTATCACAAGATTACCTTCAGGTGAAAGTAAAGATTCTTCTTGAAGTTTAGCCTCTTCCAAGTAAGTCTGCAGTGGTTCATAATTCTCAGAAGAAATCCTAATTACACTTGAAACATTAATCCCCAGCTGAGATAGCACTGGCAATAACTGAGGGTTGTGGAAATCCAAAATTATGAAGTAGTGATGGGCACCATCATCTGGTTCATCATCTGTTCAAAACAAAACAAAAGCAGTTTAGAGCAAGGGATTTTACAACTATACAAAATTCTTCTCTTTCTTGACTATATAGGTATACTGCAAACTGAGATCACAGAAACAGTTCTTTCATAAATTCTTTCAGATAATTACATCTAATCCTTAAAAATATACTTATAATATTCATATATCTATTATTTACTATATTTATTTTCTATTTATTATTATATTGACTATATTTAAATGTACAGAATTCTGTAGCAACTCATATAGAGCTAAGCAGAAAAACTACAAATCTGAATGTAAACTTGTTTGAAGAAGCACCAGGAAATAACATGTGACCATAGTGACAAGAATGCTAGTGATTGTTGCAACATGTTTTGCAGTTGGTTCTCTTTAAGAAAATTACAGTATGCTCTGGTTTATCCTATTTCATCTGGCTTATTTCATCTCACACAAAATCATGCACCCACATACACAGGGCAAGTCACTGCATCTTAGCCGAGAGATGGTGTCACCTATAACAATTTTGAAGGACTGGCTGAATTGTGATTTGTCTCACTGCTTACTGCTCTCTATCCAACAGGTTCATGTTTGCTAGATGGCTTTCTGTCAAAACTCCAGAGCTGGTAATACCAACTCATGCTAGTCCTCCTGGTTGGCAAGAGACCTACCCAAATTTATCCTGATGTAAAGATGAGAAGTTTCATTGAGCAATTTGTTTAGGTTTATTAATTTTGAAGAAATATGCACAGCAAGTTGAAAATATTTTAAGTTTTAGCTATCAAAGTAAAAGATTAAACATTTTATCATGTTAAAAAAAAAGTTGTTCTCTAAAAGCTTGACTGCAATCTAGGTTAGTTCGTAGATTCCCTTTATAGTTCATGAAAAACAGGTATATAAACAGGTGAATACAGACCAGTATCAGATGCTTGAATATTCCTGCTTGAGTATCTATTTCAAGACAGCGGACAATGCTTACTGCAGTTCCTGTAACACTCCACTGACTGTGGGACATTTGTATCTAGCACAGACTATCCTGAGGCGGTGAATGTTTGTTAATACAGGTCACTTAAAAACTCTTCAACCACTACTCAGCTCATGGTACGTATTTGTCCAGGAATTGTTCCTTCTTGCTGCAGAAAACTGATTCTGGATTATAATCTCTAAATATACCTGCGGGTTCTCTGATTCAACTTGAATGCAAGGGAAAACATTTACAGGTTACTTTTGTTGGACGGGTAATCACAATGTTTCCAGGGAACTTTCCTCCCTTATATCTTCAACCCTTTGGGAAAAAAAAAGCATTGACACACATAATAACTGAACATTAATGATTTTTAACAAAGATATCTGCATAGTAGCAGACATGAGAGAGATGAGGAGATCCAAAACTTCTGCTGCATATATGATGAAGATGACTGCCAGCCATGCAACAGTGATAGTTATGATTATGCTAATAATCACGATCTGTTTATAATAGTCAATCAGTTCTACTAATCAATGACTAATTCGAATTCAAGTGGAACACAATATCAATGCAAATAATCCAAAGATTATCCAAAACCAGAAATATTCCATTTCAGAAATGTAATAATGAGCTAGAGATGAATGATAACGCCGTTCTTTACCACCAGGAGATACAGATTGTCCTTGGGTTCCAGACATAGACATAAGTAATAGCTCAAACTTCCCTGGAGCAAAAATTGGGGAATTTTATCTTTTGCTTGAAATAGTTGCATTAAAACAGCAAGGAATACTGAAAACTATTTCCGCTGTTACCAATTTTAAAGGAACATAGTTCTTTGCAAGTCACCACTCAGACAATTTGTAAAATATGGCATATGTGTGTAAATAAAGTCTTTCAAAGCACTGTTGCTCTGGGTAGAAAAGTTCTAGGCATCTATAAGCCCTTGACACTGAGAAGTGGATCTGGCACCACTTTGTCCAAAAATAAAATCACAGTTTTAGCATGAGGTCCTTGCGAACCTCAGCTGCTGTGGACTTGAAAAAACAGACACAGTAGTTGTACCATATTTAATGTTTGTTTAGAATGGTATCCAGAAGCTTCACCAATACTTTCATGATCTTGTCTTGGAAGGGACTTTTAGATGTAAGTATTTGTCAGGAAGAATGAAGAAAAAAGCACGTCTCCATAAAAAAGTAGCTATTTTCCTTCTAGCGCGTAAGTCACTGAATGAAAAAGATTTGTGAAGCCCAGTGTTTAACCTGGACTGACTGTCAACTTCAAGAGCTGGTAGGGAGACTGTTAATTATTTATGTGCAGAATATCAGGAGAATTCCTTTTAGACAGTCTGCAAGTCTTCCTATGCATTTTGTAAAATTCTTTGGGACCAATGACACAAATTCCAGTTAATAAAGATCACAGTTCAACAGCAGTGCTGATCATTCATAATAAAAAATCTGAAGATTTGATATTGTGTATGCTAAACAAAGATACTTTTCATGGTTGTTAGATTTTGGGAGGGCATATCTTTTCATTATCTGCAACTAACAAAGCAGCAAGGTCAGAATATGGGGGAAAAATTCTCATATCTTATTGAGATAACTGCCATTTTCTGCCCACTACTCAGGCAGCAGGAAGAAGGAAAACTGTTGCAGCTGTCCAAATTGCCTCTGCAGGGCCTAGCTGAGCCTCATTACTACCACCCAAACCCATTCTGTGCAGTATATTTGCTACTGATTTCACAAAGCTATGAGTTTTCTATATAATTTTAGCTTGGATTACTACAGGCATTAAAACTTTTTTGAACACTTATCAGTTTCTGAAAAACATTAAAATAATCAAAATAATGATGATTACAGTCAAGTCTCAGCTAGGAAAATGAGAAGCTCTGAACAGAAAGCTGCTGTTCTGTTCCTGTACACCTTAGTGTGATCGATTAGGATTCAGATCTGTTCTACCACCTGCACTGGTGCTTCCTAGATGCTTGAAGAGTATCATTGATCTAGAATAAGATACAAATAAAGGTCTAATTAAAGAGTACAGAAAGCCAGAAGTGGTATAATTGGAGATTAGTGCATACACATAATGCATCCAAAATCAACGAGTGTTTACCCAGCAAGAGAGATCCAGTATATTTAAACATAGTTAAACATCTTATGGTCCAAATTAAAAATAAGCCTGGTCTAATGAGGAGAGCTAAGTACATTCTCCAACATCTTTGGTTCCAGTGACATTTATAAACATTGGTGGCATAGATTCAGATTTTTTTTTTAGGATTTTGTTTTTTTTTTCTCTGCACTGATGGACATATTATTCCTTACCTTGTGTAGCTCACTTCTGGAGTAGATTTCTCCAGGTCCCAGTAGGTCCCAGTTCTATACATTTTATAGCGAATGAAATCATACGGCCCTTTGTACAGAATCTGGCTTTACAACCAAACAATAGTGCACAGCTTTATTATGCTTTATGACACAAGGAGAAAGCTGCCCTTCGGATACTGTCACAAATGCATTTACTTCTGAAATCTTTATGAAAGGATAAGTAGGATTTGTTAGTCATTTTATTTTTGTCTTGCACATGCCAAAACATTTTGTCATTCTACTTATATGCACATATATATACATTCTATATACATATACCTCATCTGGATTTTACTCCTGGAACTGTATAATCCATCCTACTTCTAAGGAGGACCCTACTCAAATGAAGAGTGGCAATGCTATAATATTATGAAATATATCTCCATATTCCAACATGGATCAATGCAAAATACTAAATGAAAAGCAAGGTTTGAAGTGCTTTAGCATATTTATCAGAAGTTTATCTGCTTTTTTTCTTACATACCAATGTATTTGACTTCCTCTTCCTTTTCTCCTCGTCGTTTTAATCTGGTGTCCCTTTTGACAGTAGTTGCTGCTTGAAGGGCCACTTCAATTTTTCTTCCTTTCATTTCTTTCTCAGCGCTCTTTGCACTAGCTTTCTTTTCCTTTTTGCCAGGAGTTTTCATTTTCTCTTTCACTTTGTCTTTTTCTGTTTTTCGTTCTTCTTCTGCCTAATAAGATGAAAAAAAAAAAAGTTCTTGTCATGGCCTTTGTACAAAACAGGCAAAATGCCATGAAATTTTAGTGGCTGAATATATTATTTATTTGAGTAGTTTTTTCTCTCAGCCATTAAAATGTTATTGCGTTACAGCTATCTTAAACACTCTGCTTTATCCTTTTGAGGCAAAGTGTTCAGTTTATTATTTTCCTATTAAATCTTTGTGTTAAAACTTCACATTAAAAAGGAACTGTTAGAGGTTGTAAGTATTACAACAGTTACACTTAAAATTAGTGAAATTAAATCTAATGAAATGCATATTAGTAGAAAGAAGTGTGACAGCTTTCTGTGCTTCAGGTAGACTATGACTACAGCACTTCCATTATCAGGAAACTTTCCCTGAACTAAAGAAAAATAAGGCCAAATAAATCAATTTCGGTTTTGTATTTAGCATCTTGGTTAATGCTCTTGAGTATGGCATAAACACCACTGTTTTGTCTTTGATGTAGATATCTGTCTACTAAATCTAGAACCAAGAGCCCCATGCTCATTTTACACAGGATATTACTCAGCCATTTTCACTATTTTCAAACAAACAAAAAAACCCTACATTAAGTTCCACTCAGTAATTTAAGGGTAAAAAATGAAAAAGAATGGTGTAAGTATCCAAAAGCCTTACATTATAAGTCCAGGAAATGCAAAGCCAGTCTAAAATTAAAAGAAACCATAATATACTGAGGCAAAGAGAGGTACTGAGATGGTAAGAAAACCTTATTCTACCCAGCCACATGACTGTGCAGTAAGTATACAAGAATGGCATTTAAGGACTTTAAAGCTAAATCAAGCATAGCAAAAAGGCATTAGTTTAACTTATTGTTGCCATGCCTATGGCTGTAACATTAAAAGCAATGAAAGCAATTAGAAAACCTCCCTGAGCAAATGAGATAGATAGGTTAGTTGAAACTACATAGTGGTTTTCCTAGACCCAGATGGAAAAGCAGAGTTCTTGGCTGCAGAAGGTGACTCCAGTTCAAATTCAATACCAAAGCAGAAGCAAAGCTCAGTACTTTCCTTCACTTTTTCAAGCATTTCACTTTTGTACCATTCAGAAATGCCTTAACGGGATTCTTAAAACTGGCTATACTGGGGAGTGGTGGATTTTGATCACTCTTCATAATTTTTTCATAAATTTTTCAAATTTATTCCCTTTCGACTAGTGTCCAGAGATTTTGATACTAATATTTTGAGTTCTGAACTACTTTACGCAACAAAAAAAATCACATAATCAACAGTCTATAATGTTTAAAACAGATTTATTGCATCTGAAATACTTTATGTAATTAAATCCCAAACAAGTAAAGACACTTTTGTCAAGATTCAGATGAAGAGGTCCAGCTGTCATTAATACCTCAAGAAGTATAAACCTCTCCTCTT